ATACAGAATATTGTTGGATTTTGTTTCTTAATCCACTCTGCCAGTCTGCTTCTTTTGATTGGTGAACTGAGGCCATTTACATTAATGGTTATAACTGATATGTGTTGGTTTACCTTTATCATGTTATTGACTTGCTATTGGTTTCCTACTTTTACTCTGTTTTTGCTTTCTGTGGTAGGTGGTTCCTTTCTACAGTTTTTCTTGAAAATGTGGTCATTTTTATGTCTTTCCAGGATGTCTTTTAGTACTCTTTGTAGGGTTGGTTTGGTGCTCATGAAGTTCTTCAAATGTTCTTTGTTGTGGAAATATTTTATTTCTCCATTAAATTTAAAGGATAGTTTTGCAGGATACATCAATCTTGGTTGGAAGCTGTTTTGTTTCAGGACCTGGAATACTTCAATCCAAGCTCTTCTTGATTTGATGGTTTGTGTTGAGAAATTTGCTATGATTCTGACAGGCTTTCTTTTATAGGTGATCTGTTTCTTTTCTCTAACAGCTTTTAATATTCTGTCCTTCTGCTGGATTTCTGGGATCTCGATCATTACATGTCTGAGTGTAGTTTTATTTTGATTATGGCTTGTTGGAGTTCTATATGCCTCACTTAATGTATGGCAGATTCTTTTTCCATATGTGGGAAATTTTCTGGTATTACTTCTGCAAATAGTCTTCTTATGTCATTTATGTTGACTCCTGCTGTTTCCTTGATGCCTATGAGTCTTACATTGCTTCTCTTTGCATAGTCCTGCAGCTGTTGAATTGTTATTTCCTGGTTCCTTGTAATTTGTAAGAGATCTTTCCTTTCACAATCATTAGCTGCAGTGCTGTCTTCAAGATCTGATAGTCTATCTTCTGCTTCATTCAAGCAGTTTTGCCAGCTTTCGATGGAGGTTTTGATTTCCTGGTTCTCCCTTTGAATCCATTTCATGCATTCTAGTTCCTTCCTACATTGTTCAGTTAATGTTTCCATTATTTTTCTATGCTCATCTATTTTTTTATATATGTCCTCTTTAGATGTGCCGGGCAATTCTTTCATTGTTGTTGTCATTTTATTTTTTACCTGAGAGATTATTTCTCATATGATTTCATCTATGGCCTGATGGAGTTATTTCTTTACTTCAGTTGCGATTATTTCAGAGATTTCAGGTATGTGACTTCTGTGTTCTCCTATATTCCCGTGTTCTGGTTGGGGTGGAGTTCTGAGATTGCACTTTGGTCCCTTGTCTTGTCATTGTGGATGTTGGAGGTGAAGTGCTGGGGCCTCACCCTCCCCAGGCAGCTCACCAAAAAGTCTCTAGGGCCCCTAGCTTCCTTGGTTGTCAGGCTTGCCCCACGATGGCAGCAGGAGGTGACCCACCAGGTTTCTGGACTGCCCAGCTCAGATGAGTGCCCTGATGACAACAGAGTGCTGGCCTTCGTGACCAGGGTCTCCAAACAGTTGACTGAGGGCAGCTGGGCCTCAGGCTGACCTATAATTTTGGGGGAACATGCGGTGCTGGATCAGAGTCCTCAGGTGGCTGATGGAGCATACCTGTCTCTTCAGGGCCTCAGACTGCCCATATCAGTGGGATGTGGAACACCTGTCTGAGTTCCCCAGGCAAATGACTAAGGGCTCCTGAGGCTTCTGGGGCTTCAGGTGTGATCCACAATGTCTGTGGAGTGCAGGGCACCAGTCTGAGTTTCCCTGGTGGCAGGGTAATGGCAACCTAGACTAACTTGCACTGCAACCCACAATAACCTCAGGGCACAGAGCACCGGTTTGAGTTAGAGCCCTGGTGGCAGGGGAATGGTGCCCTGAACTCAGGCATGACTCACAGTGTCCACAGAATGCAGCGCATCGGTATCAGTTCCGCAGGCAGCTGGCTGATGATGACCCAGACTAAGGCATACCCACAATAACCATGAGGCGTGGGGCACTAGTTCGTGGTCTCCCAGAAGCTGGGTAATGGCAACCCTGACTAATGCAGGTGCCGCAATAAGCATGGGGCACAGGATGCCATTTTGTGCTCCCCCGGAGGCTGGGCAATGGCAACCCAGACTAACTTGTACCACAACCCGCAGTAACCATGGGCCACAGGGCACCAGTTCAAGTTCCCCTGGTGGCTGAGGAATGGTGCCCTGAACTCAAGTGTGACTCACAGTGTCCAGAGTGCAGCGCATTGATGTAAGTTCCCAGGCAGGCTGGCTGGTGATGACCCAAACTAAGGCACAACCCACAATAACCATGGGGCATGGAGCCAGTTCATGCTCCCCCAGTGGCTGGGTAATGGTGACTGATGCAGGTGCCACAATAAGCCCCAGGATATGAGTTTAGATCCTCTTATACTCCCATAGTTCCCTGCAACCTGTGCATAGATTTTCAGTCTGTTTTCTCTCTGCTACTCAGATTGGATCATTTCTCTTTGTTTCTGTTGTTACCTCCATTCCAGTTCTTTCCTTTGTCTCTCTCTTCTGATGTAGAGCCCATCCACCAGGCTTTTTATTTTGGATGATGTACTTTTCAGTTCTAAATTTCCATTTGTTTCTTCCTTTTATTTCTGTTCTTCTGTTTGCTTGCCTGAGATGTTCTAGTTCTCTGCTGAGTTGTTCTACCTTTTCCTTTCTTGCAACCATGTTTGTCATTGCTTAATGGTTACTTTAGCATGGCTGCTTTAATCCTTTTGTCAGTAATTTGTAACTTCTCTGCCATGTCAGGGTAGTCATCTGTGAATTCTCATTTTTCATTTTGCTTGCAGTTGTCCTGGTTCTGGATGTGGTGAATTATTTTCTATTGAACCCTGAACATTTTTTGTTTTGTGCTATGTTGTGAGACTCTGGAGCCTATTAAAGCCTGTTTCATTCAGCCGTCTGTATTTTTGGATGTCACTCTGGCAGTGAAGGGAGAATTCCATCTAGTTACTGCCAGATTAATGTAGAAGTCTAGGTTTTTCTCTTGGTCTCAGGTGGTCAGGGGTTTGGGCTAAGGGTGTATTTTCTTTCAGCTGGGGAGAGATGAAGATCCAGGTTCTTCAGGTGGTCTTCATTGGCACTGTGGAAGCAGAGGGGTGCTGACTAGTATGAGTATGAAATTCTGGCTCCAGCTTTGCCTTCTCTAACATCACCCTGCAGGGCACAAGTCCAGCCTCCTTGGCCTTTGCTAGAGTAGAGAGGGTGGGACCACCAATCTTTTCTTTGGTGTTCAGCTACAGCAGGGCATTTATTGTTTAAACATTTTCTGTCTTGACAGACTGCCCATTTCCTGGTTGTCTGGCTAGAGGAAACAGGCTTTTGTTATGGTTTTCTCTTTTTAAAAAAATTTGAGCCCTTTAGTGTTTCTAGTTCCTTCAGCTCCAAGTCTGACATATCCAAGGACAAGAAAGCCCATGGAGCTCACTACCACACTGTTCCTGAAGTCCTGAGCCAGGTTGTCTTCTCTGTTCTTTCAGAGTGTTCAAATGTTGGTTTTATATACACTGCATAAAGGTTTGAGGGGAGCAGTAGGAAAATACATTTATTCAATCTTCTTAGATGAAGAAGTAGAGAAGTTGATTTTAAAATCTTGAAGAAAACCTTCTGGTTTGCAACAGAAGCTCTTTTTAAGTGGAGAATCACCTAAGAATGGATAGCTTAATCTGGTGATTTGTAATAAATGAAAACTTGAAAAACAGTGCATATAATAGGGTTATATAAATCTCTTTCAGAACTGCCCTGTGTTATAGACACCTAATTTTTAGGCACTTCTTCATTTTCTAGTTTTATGTCACTAAATTAAAACATAAATAAGTAGTATGACTCAAGTTTTAGATAAAACTGTGAGGTATTACTCTTTAAGGGACCTACTTTAACTTTAATCTTATTTTTACATATCCTGAAAAGTTTATCTTCCAAGTTTACAGCACATTTAAAACCTTTTGGCAAATGACAGATATGACTTTCCCCTTGTGCTTATGAATCTACCCCAATGACTTAATGTGGTGGGAAGACCTTATTAAATGTTTGTTTCTAAAATTCTTTCCTCCTGACTTCCTGCTAAACCATGTATGAAGTACAGTCTGCAATAACAGACATGCTGACCTACAATAATTTAATTTAAATTTTATTGATAGGATGCATTATACCTTGATAGGTTCCATTGCTATTTGACATTGTGTACCTGTTTCTTTTTTTTCCTTATTTATTATCTCTGATGGTCTACAGGCTTCTTAACAGCAAGGGCATTTTTGTTTTCACCTATGTGCATCACTCACAATGACACTTGGAAGAGAGTGGTGAAAGGAGACCTGGAGAAGAAGCTTTCTTTATTCTCTCTGAGTCATAGCTTTGGGACTTTGCTTTGAATATAAAGAACGAAAGTTGTAATTCAACATGTGCTGCCTTTAGTTACAATTACCAATGTCTTCTTCCTTGGAAATGGACCTTTGTGGGGTTTTACCTTGCAGGTGTAATCTTCTTAACTAGACAGAAAGACTGTGAGGGCACACAGATACCTACAGAGTACCCACCAGGAACTAAACATGCAATAAGAACTGGACAGTCCTAGTCCATGCCATAACCAAGATTAAAACTGTCAACAGCAGCCACTGTCAGACTCTATCCTTAGGAGGAACTCAGTCTGCTGTGAAGTGATTAACACAAAAGCCCTGGCCAGCATGGGATATAAAGTGAGGAGAACTACACATATCCTTAAATTAGTGAAATATTAATATTAAGTAAATAAATGATAGTGTGTTATTTAAAGTATACCAGAACTGAAATAATGTCAGCATTTATACATATGTACTATTTCTGCTTATAGCCTCTAGTGTTTTTCACAAGACCCCATTAAGGTAGATTAAAATTATTTTCAGTGCATGAAGAAACCGAAATACAGGATTATTAAGTGACTCCAATGTCAGTCAGTACGTGACCTAACTAGGTTTGAAACTAACATCATTTGCAATGCTTCAAAGTCTGTTTTTTAAAAATATAAAACGTTGCTTCCACTCCGAAAGCTATCATTGCGTCACATAGCATTTTTTGAGTACCTCACGGAGCTGTTCCACCAGCTCTTTTTCTTCTCGTAACTGTTCCATTTTTCTCCGAATAGTAAATTGCGGGTCTATAGATTCCAGGTTTCTTTGAGGTCTTAGAAACACTGTAACAGAAATGGAACAAAATCCTTTAGGTTTGGTCTTGCACAAGTTGCCTAACACAGGGTTGTTCATATTTAAATTAAACAAATAATCTCTTTATTCATCCCAAATAATTTGTTTACCACTCACAAAGCAAAGAAATTCCTGGTGGCAATAACCTGAGACGAGGGAAGTGTCCGAGTTATTGTGGAGAATGTTATAGGCCACTTCTTGGACAGATACCCTGCCTCTCTTGTTTTTCCACTGTCTTCTTTCTAAGTTTCAATTTACACTAAAATTCCTTCATTAAATTCAGATGATTTATCTTAAGAAGATCCAAAAATTGCTTTGCATGTTAAAATTAAGTGTAGGTTAATGTTTTTGCTAGGATAACATTTTTTGTAAGCATGGGCAAAAGCTAAGTGATGATACAGAGGATTCCAAATTGGAGTGTGGAGTGGAAAAATTCTACCTTCTATCATGTCAATAACCAGGTACCCAAGAAGCCAGCTCTGGAGAGATTACACAGACTACTTTCAGGAAATCTGGTAGAATTAGAGGTAATTTAAGAAATCATCACTGGTTTTATTTAGTTCCTTAAAGTTATAACATCGTAGAATAGTAATTAATGACAATGCTTCCTCCTGCAGGTATTAAGGTATATTCCTGTAATCCCACCACTCTGGGAGGCTGAGGCAGGATGACTGAAAGTTTGAGGACAGCCGGGGCAACTTGGTAAATAGCGTGGCCCTGTCTAAAAATAAAAAATAAAAAGGGTTATTGATGTAATTCAGTGCAAAGGCTCTACATTCAATTTCCAGTACAGAAAACCAAAATCAAACCAAATCCAACCTAACAAAAACCTCCAAATGTTCTCTTGGGTGGGGATGTAGTTCAGAAGTAGGGCATTTGCCTTGCCTATGCATGGGAAGATTCAATTCCAAGTATTCCGCACATAGTAACAAAACTTCTAGAGGATAACATCTTTCAAAGACCAATCAAGAAGGCAAAAAAAAATTTTGTTTTAATTGATTTTTAAAGATACAAATCCCAAAGAAGATTTAAACCTGATTCTTTTTGTTCTTAGAGATTTTCATCCTAGATTGTCAAATTTCCATGCATACAAGAGGGAGCAAAGAGCTATGTTTGAATCTTCTATCCTGTAGATTTTCAGATTAGGGAGTATGGAGAGACCTTCAGGAAATTTTGGGCAAAGAATGCCAGTATTAAAATCAGTACAGTACCACATAGAAAGTTGCACTGGCAAATTGTAATCATAGTAGTTTCCACCACTATAATTTGAACAGTGGTGTCAAAGAAGAGCATGCAACTTTTACTCTATCCTCATAAAGATTTTCCTATGGGCCATTTTAGAAATTGCAATATTAGATTTTTTTTTTTTAAAAGTAAATATGCCCTACAAGTATAGTATTTTGAATGAACAGCTTTGAGTCTACTGCATATAATTAAATATTCTGTGCTCAACTAACTATATCATTTAAATCTCAATCTGTCCCTTTGGATTTTTTCCTAAATCAGTTCTAGGATATGTGAATCAGCATTGTGAATTTCTAGGGAATATCAGGAGGTTGGCACATCTTAAATCCTTGACTCCCAGTTAATGGTGAAAGAGGATGATCTAGTAATATGCTCATGGCCTTCTGCCTTCAGGAACCTCCAGAGGAGCCAGCCGGCGGCCTGGGCCTCCTCTGTTGGACACCACTGGGGAAGTCCCAGGCAAAGAGCATGAAAAGCATCTTGTCAGAGGAGGGCTGGTCACCGAGGCTCCCAAAGCCAAAGCCCACAGAAAGGGAGACTGATTGCTTAAAAAAGTAGAGTGAAGGTCAGCAACAGAAGGAAAGAGTGACCAAGGAAGAAGAGATGAAGAGTTCACAGAGCCAAGGCAAGTAGGGGAAAGTCAAACAATTAGGACACACAGAAGAAACCTGAGAATTCATTACATTTGTCTTTAAACCACCTCAAGCAAAACAAAAAATCTACCTACTGAAGCACAGAAGTTCAAAAATAAATGTATGAAAATGTAAAATCTAGAAATAATCTGTACCTCCTAAGGAAAACAATTTAACCGTGTTTACCAAAAAAAGTCAAGGAATGCGGACAGAGTTGGGTAACAGACATATACACCAGCAGGGGGCAACCCAACATCATGAAATAAACCATGTTTTCTTTGGAGGTTTTACTTTCCTTTACCTTTCTCTGGAGTATTCTTATCTAATACAGCACATTTAATATTTTCAATATGTTTTTATTGGCAGTTTTCACTCTGAATATGAAACTACCAGGAAGTTTCATGAACTGGAAGCTTTTGTTTTACAACACAAGTGAAGCACCTATGCCTTGTTGGAGCCCTGTGTGGAAGCTCAGGATAATGCACTGGTGTCTAGGCTTCAATTTGCTGGCATTACTTTTCATTTTAAATTCCTGTGCATCTTAAAAATACAGCATGCATGTTTGGATACTTTCTTTCTGAATGTTAATCAATCAAAAACGTTTAAAATATTTGAACAGTAACTTTTAACACAAAGGCTTCAAATGTACGTGAAATTATTAGAAATCAGGATTACAAGACTATTAGTTTTCTAAATTGATTAATTTCCATTGACTATATGAGAACTTACAAAAAACTCTTAGGCTCATAATAAATCTGTCAGCCTTTTTTGATGGGTTTGTTATGACAGAATAATTTTACTTACGAGTATTAAGACAGCATAATTACATTCCTTATATTTTTTTATTTCAAGTAATATTTAATAATAAATCCAGTGACCAATCTGGGCCATAACCTCAGGAAACTGATTCATGGAAAAACTACTCTGTGTTTTGTTAATTACATATCACTGCCATATATTTCAAGAACTCCCTTAATTCAGGGAAATAAAAGTTCAATTTGAGGCTACAGGACAATACTTAAAGAGAGCCTTGTTAGCACCTGCTTTTCATATCGAACGCTACCCTGACTTTTTCAACGTAAACAGGAAAGTACAGGGCAAGAGAGCAGCGTGACGGTGTGTACACAGGAAAGGGGGTAGGTGATTTAAAATGCTGAAGAAAAAATGAGCCCTTCTCAACTGCTTTTTATAAAGCAAATTTATAGCATTTAAAATACAAAAAGATTTGCTCAGATATTCAATTTGTTTAGCAGAAGACACAAATTTCTAAGCACAGCCCTGAAGAAGGATATACTTATGCCTAATATATCAAAATCATGTGCAGGTTCAGGCCAAATTTCCCTGGTTTTTCCACTGCCACTGCCTTTTCCTTCACTCGCACTATCTTAATTCCTCTATCCTATGAACATACAAAATTCTTTATCTGTATCTGTCTCATAGCACTGTCACTTTTTCTATTACAGTATAAATATATTTTTCTCCATTATAAAACTGTAAGAGCATATGTTTGTCTCCAATTTGTATCCTCTATCTTGCCCCACAAAATAATGGGTTAGGCAACATGAATTTGCTAATGAAAAAATGAAACTCAAAACTCACTTAAAGATCAGTCTCCTTAAAGGCCACCTTCGCAGAAATTATCTCACAGTCAGTGATCTGAATTTTTCCTCTCATAAAAAGTGTCCTAACCTTAGACTCCAGGTCTGAATGCAGTATTGTTCTCCAAAGTCACGAGAACAGAGATCATGTCTATCATTTTCAGAGTTGTATCCATCATGTGCATCATGCCTGGCACCTAATAAGCACTGAACAGATATTTAAGGATGTGTATAAACAGCAATTTCTCTAATTGTTCAAAGAATATATTTCAGTTAAAGAAAAAAAGAAGTTACGTTCTTGGAAGTTAAGAACCTGGACTGGTATGACGTTTATGCTATACAAATGTTATCTCTTTTTTTTTTTTTTTTTCTGGTACCGGGAATTGAACTCACGACCTTGTGCTTGCCAGGTAGGCGCTGTGCCGCTGAGCTAAATCCCCAGCCCCCTATGCTATACAAATCTAGCTGAGGATGTAGCTCTGTGGAAGGCCCCGTTCTATCCCAAGCATTACCAATTTAAAAAAGAAAGAAAAACATATACAAGTTCAAGAGCAGAAATATGGTGGTGGCTTTGAAAAAATCATGGGCTTTAGATTCAGGTTACTGTGAGTTAAAAGTTTAATAAGCTCATTCATTCATTCCCTTCTGGTACCAAAAAGGCATTATACACATTTTCTGCTTTTGAAATACTCAAATCCTTCTCCTCTTAAGTATTTTACTTAATTCAGTGGCTTTCAAACCTACCTGTACCACATGCTACATAAAAAGCAGTTAAAAGTGTTTATACTCAATGCTACACCAGATAAATGAGCACCTGAGTCTGTCAAGACAACTGTAATATGAAGATAGAGTTGAGAACTGATTTTAAAAAACCCTCTCATGTCCTTCGTTTCCTCAGTTTTGAAACATAAAGAGCAATACCTCAGCGCAAGATTATTGTAAAAAAAATTATCTGTGAGTTGGTCTAGATGCAAGCGCCCCTTCATTCTCCCTCAGGTGATAACTTAAAAATTAAGCCTAAATTCGTACCCCACAACTCAACGCAAATGAAAAACTAAGAAATGATTCAAAAGAAGATGGGAAAGGTATCAACTTCAAGTGAAGTGGGAAAAGGAGACTGTGTCACGAGAAGGAACAGAGGCAAGTTTCCTGGTTAGGAACAGAGGGAAAACCTCCATCCCATGCCCGAGGCAGGCCGACCTGCAGATGAACTCCCACCCTCACCTCTGTCTGTCAGAGGCATCAGAACTTAGGGAATGGTGGGAATCCAAACTCCCAAGGCTCTCCTGGCCTGTGTGCCATTTTATGGTGACTCTTTGAAGAATAAACATGGGGAAAATGGTGAATTTAAAATGAGATAGATTGGAAATAAAACACTGGAAGGAAGTGAAATAAAAGGAGATTTTTTTTTATCTGAAGCGAGGCAGTGAATAAGGAATAATAAAAATACCAAGATTTTCAAATTTAACTAAGTTACATTATGTTAGGTTAAGCTGGTAAAAAGATGCCCCTTATTTACAAAGGTTGAGAGGGCTGCAGAAACTGGATAATGGAAAAAATATAAGGAAACAAAAATGATGTGATACAACTTTGAAATAGCAAGAGGGATGATGGAGTAGAACTTTCTACTCAGAGGAAGCGTGTGCAACATGCAAAGTAGCTTGAATTCTTCTTACAACATTAGTGCACAAACTTGTGGACATACAGTGCTTCTTTAATCTACAAAGTTTATTAGGAAACATTCATGTCATAAGGCAATGTTTAGCACAAAAAGAATAAAAATTTGCATGAACCATCAGATCTGGGAACCTGTACCCAAATTTTTGTGAAGAACATTTTCTGTACAGAAAATCATATCTTGCCTAACGCATATCACAGATGAACTGCAAAGAAAGCAAAATGACAACTACCAAATGCCAGATGTGATAGACTGAGCAGGATGAATACTGAAAACAAGGCTTCTATTTCACTGTGGAACAGTGTGATAGGTATACATGAATTCCCAGAATTGTCACTCACAGAAAAAATACCAACTAATACATGTGAAGTTATTTTATTTCTAGAAAGATTGTCACAATGATTATTTGTTATGGAAATCTCACATATTTTAATGAAAAGAAGGCAGCCTGGCTTAGTACCTTGCACACAAAGACCTCAGTAAACATCTGTAGATCTGATGAGAGGAGAGATTCCAGAGTTAAGAGCCCTGGGTAGGGCCTAACAGTGTGAGCATGCAGCTCGCCTCAGTTCTGTGGTTTTAGTCAGTTCATCTATAGGGACAGAAGCTCAGATGTGTAAGTCTCTGCCTGCTTAAAAAAAGTGCTCTGGTTTCAGACATTACTCCAAAGGAAATACCAAATCACACATAAATCTTTCATACTATGCTTTATTTCCTTTAGACAATATCATACCTATAAATAGCCACTCTTCCTGAGAAACAAAAATTCTCCCGTTTTTCAAGTTTATTTTTTTATTTTTAAGTAAAGAAACAGTTGATCAAGTTTCATTTCATCCTATTCAATTTCCAGCACTGAAAGCTGGATGATACATGAGGGGGGGCTTTTATTTCATGAAGCTGTATAATCAGAAAACGTATCTTCTTATTGTATTTGCATCATGGTTGCATTTCACATTTCACTTGCTTCCCCAGAAATCACAGTTTCATTTAACATTACTTCTATCACTATGTATTTTGAGGTAGAATGCTTAAGATCTGAACTAGGGTTAGATTAGAGTGGAGATTCAGATACATATGGTACATGGATCTATATAATTATATTTATTTTATTTTTATCCCTTGGACTATTTTAAATACCTACTGGCATAAAATTAAGATGTACACATTAACCATAATGGATGTCCTCAGTTTTTATCCGTGGGAATTAATCTCAGATCAATTTATTATTCTTGAATATTATACAGCTGAATTTAAAATCCAGAAGGCATTAAAAGTCAAAATGTGCACTAATTTTTTTAAAAAAAAGGTGAGTGATTTCTGTTCATTTTTAGAAATTTCTCCAAATTAGCAATATTTTCAGGGCAACACTCTAGGATCAGCCACAGTATGTTTTAATTACCTTTATACTTCATGTGGGAAGCATAGATAATAAAAGATCAAACTCTTAAAGCATTTACTACAGGTGTGAAAGCAAGCAGATAATTCAAATGTGCAAACCCCAAATCTCTATAGACAAGCAAACAAACCAACACACCCAAGCAGAACAGGTAAAGAAGCATTGTAAAATGTGCCCCAAATCAGAATGCTCAAGATAATGAAACTATAATTTGACCAACTGCTAAAAAACAATTCACATGCATTTTTGGGGACTTCACTGTCTAGACTTGCTCAGCATCTCATCTCATGTATCAAGCATGCAGGTGCACATACTCTATCTCTGGCTGCAGAGCAAAGACTGTTCAGTATAGTTACTGGCTTATTAACGAGAACATTGAAAAAGAGGTACAAAGCCACCTACCATTGTCACTGTCTCCTTCAGATGGAACACTGTAGCTAGAGTTGTCCCATATTTGTGCCTGTGTAAGTTTGTTGAAGGAGATAGGAGGGAGAATGAGGGCTGGGTCTGCAGGAGAGCGAGAGCCAGGCCGCAAACAGTTGGACAACGACCAGGGAAAACCAAAAGGGCCGCAGCATTTCACAAATGGCATAAGGTTCGTATGGAAATGAAGTGGATTTCATTTATATGGGATTTAATTTCAAATGTACAATACAGGAGGAGAATGAAAGATGGCATATGGAATAAAAAGAATGATAAAAACTGAGTGTTAGTACTCATCAGTCAAATATTTTGCATGCAGTTAATATCATTACTGTTAACAGTTCCGCAGACTTAAGAGTACTAATGAGTCATGTCAGTAGAAAGAAGTTCCCATAGGTTACATATAGACCTACCAGACACCTTTCTTGAAGACTTTCTGAACAACTAACACTCTTAGAAAATATAATTAGATGATTCACACACAAACAAAATTGGTCATGGATGACAAAGCCAAATATCTGTAAATATATCTACCATTTAGAAACAGAACAATTACAGAATTCTTGTTTACTATTAGTGAATTTTTTTCCCCAAGGCAATGTGGAATATCATTTTAAAGAAATCTGTAAGTCTCCTGGTGTGCTTTATGGAAAGCTGAATCTAACCAGCTCTTCTTTAACCCATACCATTCATCTCAATCCAATTTTAGCTATTGCTCAGTAAAAACAAAAACAACAGCAGAAACAATTTTGGACAACAACAGAGTATGTTTAACCAAAAGAGAAATGTTAATCAATTTGAAGAACTTCTGAGTTAATTATTTATGAAATGATAACATGTCTTACTTTACACCAAATATACATATTTAGGATATTTATACTTACGAAGCATTCTATAAAATTCTCTTACTATATTATGAGGCAGGGCCAGTAAAGTTAATGAGTGTGGTTCTAGTAATAAATATTTGCATTATAAACACTATCTTTCCTTGGGAGGATAACATGGAAGAGAAAAACTGTTTCTTCTGAAGGAAATTATTAGTCCACGTTAAGAACCTATATTCTTATTCTGCCTTGCTCACTTAAGCAGCTTCTTTTTATTTATAACCCCTAAATCACAGAAATCCACAAACTTAATTGTAAAATAAAATTAGCTTTAAACAACCAATCAAAAATTGATTTCCATCCTTTTTAATCATATGATCTCAGGTTAAGATACACTACAAATTATTTTCCAGCAAAAATATGGAAAATACATAATATTTACAAGTCACTACATAAAATCCTAAAATCCAAATACATAATGCGAATTTTACAACATTCCAGTATCACTTGATGTTCTTGAAGATAATCAACATTATTTTTGGCAAAAAACTCCACAAAGCTTTCAACAACTAGTACAATCTGCATGCTGGCTCGTCAAGCATCTCAAGGCTAGAAGCTTGGAGATGAAATGATCTTTGCTTTCTGTTATTTAAAACAATTCCTATCTTTATTTCTTACCACTACAAAGAATCTGAAATGGTTTACAGTGAAAGCACCTAATTCTGGACTCTATAAAATAAATAAAAAAATCACAGAAACAATTTTACAGTTCTGTTCCAAGGCTACACATTCAAAAAAATCGTTCTTTAGAGATCCCTTCAGCTTTTGACTTGCTTAATATGAAATATTTTAGAATTCTGTAAAACTGCATGCAAGGACTAAGAGAGAGTCTGTACCCCTGTCTGAGGTCCTCACTGAGGGCACAGAGGAGTCTGACTGGATTCGCCTCCATTCTCCTAGCACAAAGTCAAGACTGGGAAGCAGAAGTGCAGCCCACATCTGGTTGCACACACTTGATTCCACACTTAAGAAGGCCAGGCATTGGAGTCTTATTTCACGCACAATTTGACTCTCCATAGAATACCCTCTAGCACTGGATGTGTTGTTTAGTAATAGCTTGCCTAGCAGGTGTGAGAGCCTGCTTTTGATTCTTAGCACCACAAAAACAAAAGCAAAACATCTACAAATTCTTGTCTCACTTAAGCACATCTTCAAAAGGCTCATTCAAATTGCCAGAAAACCAATACAACTGGCCACATGTCGCCCATCAATCAACTTGCTCCAAGAACAAAAACATTTCCTTTATTAATGAATCATCTTTTTTTTTTTTCAACATACATAGTTTATACTATTGCCAGGATGTTTCACAGGAAAATCCAAGAACATCTGAGCTGTTTACCAGCTTTAGCTTAAAAGTGTCTGAATACTCTACCTGCACTTGCATAAAAGCATTTCTAGTGAGGGTGCTATACACCAGAGTCAAAAATAGTACTTCAAAGGAGGGTCTAAAAGAAGAAAGATAGCACAAGAACTTTAAATAAATGGGAGAAATCAGAAGAAACATATTTTTCTATTCAGAGTCCTTTTTATAACTTACTTTTGTAAATACACTAGTTAGGTCAAAAGCAGAATGCTTTCTCGTAAGATTTTTTTATGACTTTTGCTCATTCATGCAAGTCTTGAAGTAATCTCTCTATTTCATGAATAGATACATAGGTCCTGCTAGGCTAAGAAAGCAACTGGAGATATCTGAGAAAGAAGTCTGTTGCCCTTTAGCTCAGCACAATACCAGGAACCACTGGGGCAATAGAAAGCTATTTCATTTTCCTTGGGTAAAAAAGTTCACTAGGCTGTTACTTTCTCACTTGCATGCCCCCACCACAGTTTCTCCTTTGTTCTGATTCAAAAGAAGGAAAACTATCTATTACTGATAGATAACAGGGATCTACCAGCTAACTCACTAAAATCATAGCTCCAATCTCTGACCTTCCCAAGCTGTTGTACAGTTCTGATGCCAGGAATTGAGTTTAGAGAACTGAAAATTTTCATGAGTAAATTTAAAGGCCAAGGAGAAACCACCAAGCTATTTAGTGCAGGAATGATATAATGGACTAAGGTTTAATTTACCTGATCGAGGCTTCAGGCCAAATGGAGCTGTGCTGTTAATGGTAGGAGAGACTGTGGGGGAGCTCTCTCTCATCTGTGAGGTTAGAAGAAAAGGAAATTAGAGGAAAATATGAAGCAGAACTATGTATCCTTCTCTACAGTGGAAGATCACTACAGCAGCACACCCTCTTTGCATTTGCTGCTGTGTGAGGAGTCCTGGCTTTAAAAAAAAAACACTCTGCAAATGTTTTAAGGAGTATAATCAACACAATATGGTTTTGGGGTGACCCACTCAATTTCTTTTTTGCTTATTACAAATGTGTTTTGCAATCCTGTGAAAGTGGAAGTGCCTTTTCCCTCCAGCATAATGAGTGGTATGTATGTGTACTGCATCCAAAAGAGGTCACATCTACCGAAGACTTATTAACTCAACAAGATGAGGAAACAGTAACACAGACAGATGCCTTATCTATACAGAAACCACATGCTGAAGACTTCCTAAATGTTGCCTATTTGAGTGATTTCTATTTGGGTTTCTACAGATGATCTTGCATTGGTTTTCAAAATTGTTTCTTATAAAAAGTAATCCAGTGATTCAAAGGGCCAGACAAAGCCGTGATAACCAATGAGACAGAGAGGGAGGTAATGAAAGCCTCCTCCCCCGAGTCTCCTCAATTAACTCATTAATCACAGTCTTAGTTTATACATTTCTGCGAAAGATATTCTAATTCAGCCTTCATAGAATATCTCAGCTTCCATTAATCTTCAGGAAACTTACCTCATCTGGAGAATACTGGCTTCCATTACTCTGTAATGTTAGGTCGTTTTGCACCTTTAAGAAAAGAAAGAAAAGGATGATATGTTCCATTACATTGTAAAACTGATGAGGCAAAAAATGTATTTTTCTTTTCTCCATCACATCCCTGGATCAGTCAAAAACAATAAATATATGTTGAACTAATCAGAATGTTAAACAGCTAAGTAGGTCACACTAGTATTTCTAAAAGTATGCAACTGTATTCTTAAAAAATTATACCTAAAGTGTCACACAAATTAAGGTAAGGATTTTTTTCAGCATAAAGGGTTCACTCCCATAAATCCATGAGCAACAGCCTACCTTGAAGGGTTACCAAGCTGCAGGCTGGCCCCTAGCCCTGTATTAATTATGGACTTTTTAAAACAGTCCAGGGTAGTTGTTCCAAAATATACAGAATCACACTGAGAGCTCTTAATAAATGCACATGCCTAGACCCCAAATTGCCTGGGAAATCTCATGAGATCAGCTCAGTATCAGTGAGCTTTAGCAACCACTGATTAAAAGAAAATTATGGTAAAGTGTTCTGGTCATGGTTTTCACCTGAAATAACTGGGTGGGAGGTGGTACTGCAGTTCAAAAGGAAGTTGATAGTTTCAGTTAAGCCACAAAGACAACACAAACTTACAGGAGGATGGAGATGAAATCTCAACGCTGGGAGAAAGGGGAGGGATTCGGGACATAACCTATAGATTTGGCATTTGGAAGTCATTATTATTTAGGGGATGCATAAGCCCATGAAGGCAGTCAGATTTTCCAGGGAGACTGTAGGGAAAGTGAAACATGATAGCTGAGGGCAGAGCTAAACTAGTGTGAGAGGAACACCGAAGGACAAGAAGCCCACAGGCACATTCTAGTGTATTCTTCCAGATCTACCTTCTTTATATGGTGACCCAGACCCTATTGATCTACCCTACTGAAAAATCTGGTGACAGCTAATTCAAATACCTTCACCTATGCCACTAAATTCATATAAAATTAAAATATCTCATTCATTCCTGAGGAGTGCTATTTAAAAGTATTCTCAGGGGCTGGGGATTTAGCACAGCGGCAAAGCGCCTGCCTGGCAAGTGCAAGGTCGTGAGTTCAGTTCCCGGTACCGGAGAAAAACCAGACACACACAAAAAAAGTATTCTCAACTTTAAGACAAATCCAAGGTTCAAGCATTGTTAGAATATAATGTCATTAATGTCTCTCTTGTTAGCTTTGTTAAAACCGCTAACAAGTAACTTTGGGTTTGATACTTTCTGTAAGGAGTTCCTTGCTCTAATTTTTCCTGTTGTTTTCTCAATACCTTCTCCCAAATGCAAATTAAAACAACACAGAAATCTTACTCCAGAATGAATGCCTACCATCAAGAAATTAAATAGTAACAAATGTTGGTGAGGCAGCAGGGGAAAAAGAACTCTTCTTCACTGTTGGTGGAAATGTAAACTAGTATAACCATTATGGAAATCAGTGTGGAGATACCTCAAAAAACTAAAAAACAGAAATCCCATTCAACCTAGCCATTCCCCTACTAGGTACATTCCTGAAAGAGATAAAGTAAGTCATTATATTATAGTGATACATGCACACCCATGTCTACAGCAGCTAGCACAATTTATAATACCTAAATCTTGGAAATGGCCTACATGCCCATCAACAGACGAATGGATAAAGAAAACATGGTGTTTATACACAATGGAATACTACTCAGCCATAAAGAAGCCTAAGGGGGCATTCAGAAGTAAACAAATGCACCTGAGGCTATAATATTAAGTGAAATAAATCAAACACACAAGCTTAAATATTGCAGTTTCTTTTATAAGAAGAACCCAAAAATAGAAGACAAATAAAAAATAGATAATAGGAAGTAGCGTGATCTTTTTCAAATGGAAATTGGAAAAAGATATGCAGGGAGGGAAAAAGGAGGAGAGAAAAGGGATGGAAAAAAGGACTGAAAGAAAAAAATGAAAACAGCTTTTGCAAATGGGAAGGGGACCAAGAGTTGGAAGGAGCAGAGAGACAGATGGGAGGGGCAGGGGACAAATAAAAAAATTAGGATGTGTTATGTACATGTATCAACTCCCCATAAATGTAATCATTATGTACTGCAGACTTGACTGATACAATGAAAGTAGAGAACAAAACAGAGCATTTTTAAGGTCAGAGACCGTGACAGCTCCCATCTGCAGATGGCTCCCTAGCTCGGCCTCACTCACTCCATTCTCAGCTCCCACAGGGTGCTGAGTCCACCACAGCCGTCATGTGCAGCTGTCTCCTGGCTACAGACACACAGTCTGAGTTCACTCCCTTCTCCTCAGACTTCTACCCCTTTCCAGTCTCCCAAGCACAGAGAACACACTTGGGATTGCAGGCCATCTCATATTCTTCCCTACATATTTTCAACATCTGTCCTGTGCAACTTTTTAGGCCTTGTTTAAAATGAGGGCCACTTGAAATCCTTCACACTCTAGTCCTCCAGAGGAAATGTGCTTAGCAAGTGGCCAGCCAGGGCAAGCCTATGTTGAAGGATGTGCTTTCTTCTTGAATAAAGTGGAGGACAGAATATAAAAGTAACACACATAAATGAGGACCTGCACAAGCATGATCACTGGCTTTGAATCCACTGCTTTACTTTCTTTTCCTCATTCTCGCGAACTTCTTTTCCTTCCTTTTTAAAATCATGGACCTGTGTCTATCAAAGAGAAAACTGCCCCAAGAAGGAAGGTAAGATAAAAGAATTCCTTACACCAAATAGGACTGTTTATTCAATCAAAGAAACAAACCCTTATATTAAAATAACATAAAACATGGGGAGTTGAATGAACAGCATCATTTTTCCTAGAGATTTTGTGTCTTCCTGTTAACTTTTGCAACCCTAGAATCTAGGTATATTCCTTAAAACAAATAAACAAACAAACAAACAAACAAACAACTCTACATGCATGCAAGTTCAAGGACATTTGAAGCAGCATGCTTTAGTGAAAGTGCCAAGGTAGGTTATATCAGGCACATCCTGTGTGTTCAAACAGTAATTCAATTGCCCTGATCTGAGCAGGGAGGGAGTTCACCTTGGGGAAGAAAGGGCATGTAGTGACTTGCTCCAAGCTAGACAGAGGGCTGGGCTCAGGGATTTCACACTGAGCTTTATCCCCAGAATTTTGTCTTGCTTTGTTTTGTTTTTTTATTTTAAGACAGAGCCTTGCTAAGTTAGTAACTATGTTGCCCAGGCTGGGCTCAAATTCTCAATTCTCCTGCATCAGCCTCCCAGAGTGCTGGAAATACAGGGGTAGACCACCATGCCCAGCCACCAAGATGATGTTCAGGCATCTCTTCACAGACTTACATTAGTTTCACAGGGAAAAAGATCATTATATAGTAGAGAAATGGGGTTACACCTCAACTGGGTGACTAAACTAACAGAGCAATGAGGGACAGATGGAGACATACCATACCCCCAAATGTGAAACCTTGAGCACATACAATGTCACCTGAGCAGGATCCCAAACAAGAAAGCAAAATGTCTCAATCTAACCATGAGCAAATGTCAGATAAACACCAAATAAAGGAAATGGCAAATAAAAGAGGGAGGCTTATGTTCTGCAAAATTGCAAGGCCAGCCTGGGCAACACAGTGAGTCCAGGCCAGCCTGAAGCTTCAAGGCCATAAATCTAAGAAAGGTTATGCAATGTTCCAGAGTAAAGAAGGCTATAAATACCTGACAATTGAGGGCAACATTTGCACTGGGAGGAAAAGGTTGCTTTGAAGAGCATCTTAAGATAACTGATCACTCTGGAGCATGGGTGGTAGAGCAGATGAGAATATGTTTGTTCTGAGGGTAAATTTATGAAGTTCATAACTGAAATGTGATTATGTAAGATACAATACCTATTTTTAGAAAACGTACAATGAAATGTTTTAAGGTAAAGAACTGTGTGACAAATAAAACTTATCTTTAAACATTTCAGAAAAATTAATGTATATGGAGAGAGGGAGAGAGAAAAAAACAAAACAGTCAATATGGTAGAATGTTTATTAACATTAGCTTCAGTTTATTAACATTATTAACATCTCTACTTTAATGTCAAAACTGCTTTGTCTTCAGTTTATTAACATTAGCTTCAGTACCCCTTATCTAAAAAGTCTGGGACCAGAAGTGTTTTGGATTTCAGGTTGTGAAGTATTGGCACATACGTGATAAGATATCTTGGGGGTAGGACCCTCGTCTAAACACTAAATACATTTCATTTATCTTCTCATACGAAGATAATTTTATACATTTTAGCACATTTGTGGCATCATATTGGTGTTCAGAGTTTTAGATTTTAGAGTACGTTTTGATTTTGAATTTTTCAGATTAGGGATGTTCAACCCATAACTAGTAAATCTGACTATGACACTATAATTTTTGTATCCTCTTACAGAAACTCATACTTTTTTTCTGCAGTGTTTGAAAAGTTTAAAATTATTTCAAAATATGAAGTGTACAGTTTTCAGAGAACCAAAATCAATCTAAATGGAGAGCCTGAGGAAATAAGTCCTGCGTGGCCTGCTAATAAAAACCATCCTGATGTTCTACTAGCGGGTAATTCAGTGACACCTCCATTCAGGACAGAGATGGTACTGTGATTCTCTCTGAAAGCTACACCAAGAACAATAATAAGAGTAGTAGAGTAAGGGCTAGTCTCAGGTGCCCTGTGTTGGGAGACATTCTTGAATCATCTCATTTGAGTTTTACAATAGCTATTATTATGATCCTAATTTACCAAAAAGGAAGGCCAAGTTTAGAGAGGTTAATTAACTTGCCCAGAGTTAGCAAGTCTCTGGGAGAGGGCTGATCCCCAACACAATTACAAGTTGCTCAGTTTAACAATGAAACCATATACTCTGTGAACATGTTTGTACACACTCTTGCTATCTAACTCAGCCATCTGAATCCCATTCACTAAGAAGGGATGGAACAGGCTGCAAGGGGTCCTAACTCCAGAATTACCAGCTCTAACTTACCTCTTCATGACTGGGGTAACAGTTTTTGTTTGGGACCTTTTAGGTTCATCTCTACTTTAATGTCAAAATTGCTTTGTCTACAGCTACTTAAATTCCAAGCCTGATACAGGTCTACCTAACTTTTCCTTACCCTGTCCCCAAATAATCCCATCAGTAACTCTTCATGGTATTCTTTTGATCCTAAACACCTCCAATCATTTGTTATTTTTCAGGTCTTTTCCAGTATTTCTTTTTTTTTTTAATTCTTTTTTTTTTATTTTAAAGAAAAGAAAAATAAACAATAGAAACAATGGTATAAAATTTCAAAACAAGATTGTGGGTAAGTAACAATGGTTAGTACACTGTGTATTGTTATCTTCAAAGTAGTTGCTCATATTACAAGATATAGGCATGAAAGTTGTTTCAGTTTATTTTCACCAAGCCAGACTTCTTTGTCAGTTCCAGAATCTGCTCTGAATTATCCTACCTCCAACCTCTGACAGTATGGGTTCCCTATGTATCTTAGCGGCCATTGCTTGATTTAGCAAGACTACCTTTATATAAAAAAATTTAGATAATCTCGGAGAAATAGCCAACTTTCATCTTTAATGGAAGGGGAGGTATAACAGATAAGCCGAAATAAAGAGAGTAAAAATATTCAACAGTTGAACAATGTGTCCTGAAAAATATGGATAATAGCCTCACTCTTAATAATGCTTTTCCCCCTGTAAGTCTTTACAAATAAGGTGGCTATCTACAAAGTTCTGGTCTTACCTCACACACCGGAGATGTCTCTAGCTCTGTCTGACCGCTACAGTAATAAGGAAAGAAAAAAGAAAACATAAAGTGGAATTTAAAGCATTAATACTTCAATTTAAAACAGAAAACAAAATTGCTGAGTTATAAAAAGGCAAACATACTTTAGTGCAGAATCTGGTAATTCTAAATCTTCTTCTGTTCTCATAGGATACAGATTTAAAATACTTCTTTCTGTAATATCTGTGCTTAATCTAAAGAGCAGGGAAAAAAGACTTAATCTAAAAACCAGTGAGTCTATTGAACTTTTATTTTTTACAAATGCAATTGCTCATAGTTTAAAAGTTTAATATACTGAAAAGTGACACTTATCTTTAGGATTAAATGATGAAAGGTTTATGGAAGAAATTTCAAACTGCATGGTATTTTCCTACCATATACATAAATATGACTTTCCATCTGCTATTGGCAATGAAATCCAACTTATTTACAATGAAATAGTAATTTCTGATAAAATCATAATTTTCAGAGGTAGGATATACTAAATTTTATCCTAAAACTGCATTCAGAGAAGTAAGTTGTTAGGAGTACTATATTCCAGTGTATGTAATAAGACATTTGGTTATAATAGAAAGATCTTTCTGTCATAGACTAATACTATTACTTTAAAAATAAGAATTCAAGATGAGGTATATAGGTCAGTGGTAGAATTCTTGCCCAGCACGTACAATGGCCTAGGTTTAATCCCCAGCACCAAAACAAAAAATTTATAAGCATTTTGATATGTATTTTTAATTCTGAAATTGACTTCCATATAGTTACTGAATTTCTTTTTTTGGTTTTTCTCCGGTACCGGGAACCGAACTCATGACCTTGCGCTTGCCAGGCAGGCGCTTTTGCCGCTGAGTTAAATCCCCAGCCCCCTACTTACTGAATTTCTGTAGTTTTAAGAGATCAAGATTTTTCCCCCAAAGATCTATAAGGCAGGAAATTCTTATATGACGTAAGTTATAAGTCATGTTAAAGGACTTGTATTATATTGTACTTTATTTTGCTTTGTTTTATTTTTTGGTTTGGGGAATTGAACTTAGGGCCTTACACTTGCGGGGCAGGCCCTGTGTCACTGAGCTATATCCCTGGCAAGGACAGGTATTTTAACAGGCTACTAACATTTTTATAGGCTATTAATAGGTAACCCACTATAACATTGGCTCAAACAAATAGCACTAGAAAATTAGAGTTGCATATTACAGTATTTCAAGATGAATAACAAATATATAAAGTAGTCAAAGTAGTGGATTATTTTAGGGAGAGAAATATAAATAAAATCTATATAACCTACCTAAGTTAACTCATGCTGAAACTAGGTTTGAAATGTACTTCTTCCTACCAGCCTTGCCATTTCCTGATTCATTATAATTTTACACATGTGTACATGGATACACACAGAGGCTCTCTTGTTCTGTTTCCTGCTTTCTTACTAACTACCCTAGGTAAGTATGTGGAGTTCAGCTCTTTAAACATACCTGATTCAATGCTATTGAGTTAAAGTTTAAGCCAAATGTTAGGGAGACTTATTAACATGAATAATTATGTTCCCAAACCATCAATGCCTCCTTATACATGTAAAACAAAGTCTTGGCTCCTCAACATAGCATCTGAAGCCATTCCCCACGATATGGCTGAGCTAAGTATCCCCCAAGTTCCATGCAAACTATTGGAAGGTGATGGACGTTTCAAGAGGTGAGGCCTGGTAGGAGATCTGATCATATGGTGGCATGCACTTAGAGGGAATACTGAGACCGTAACCCTTCCTCTTTCCCACTCTTTATATACAGCCATGAGATGAATGGGTTTGCTCTCCCATGGGCTCCCAACCATGACGTGCTGTGCCACCACAGGCCCAAAGCAACAGGTTCAATCAGTCATGGACTGAAACCCCCAGAACTGTGGACTGAAATAAATCCTGTCTAAATTGATTATCTCCAATATTTGTTATCATACTAGAAAGTTGAATGATATACTCTGTCCTACTCCACACTGCCTCTCTGATGATTCTCAGTCCTGGCTGCACAGCAGACACATGGGCAACCCTCAGTCCCATGCCTAGTATCTATTTTGAAAAAGTTCCATAAGTCATATTGAGGCAAGCCAGGGTGGTTTTGTTTTGTCAGACCTTTTCTAAGCCAGTCCCATTCTCTTTGGCCTCTATGTTTTTGCCTATGCTTCTTATTCAACCCAGAGTTTACTTTCTCCATAAAACTGTCAGTCATTAAAGACCCCAGTTAAATATCCCAGCCTTCCAGAAGATCAACCCAGTCATCTCCCCTTTCCTGGGGTTAAGAACTCTCTCTACTTTATCATTTTTAAAAATCTCTACCTCAGGCATGTAAATCAATTACATTTATAAATAACTGCACAAGGCAATCTCTTGCTCTTACAGCTATAAGCAATACATGTACTCAGGAGGCAGGAACTGTGTTTTGCTTATCTTTATATTTCCCCAAGGAGCATCCTATAGATCTTCCCTGTTCTAAGCACTCAGTTAATGTCTGCAGAACTAAAATGCCTTCTATATCAATTGCTAAACATTTCCGGCCATACTTAACCTGACCTGCCACTATTCTTTCAGGGCCAGACAACACTGTTGGAGTGTTCATACTGGAACTCTGGGTTCACTAACCACCCTTTTCATAAATCCCCAAACTCAGCTAGGGTGCTATAGTGATTCTCATGTTCATCTTATTATAAGATCAAATCATCTTCACCTTTAAATTTGCAGGAGTCCTGGATACTTTACCAAGGATAAACCTTGAGTGTAGTTTTCTAGTGGTCATGTAGTTATTACTTGATACTTGATATTATCTTACTGAAAAACATTTTGTCCATGGGAATTCCATTACCCTTAGCTAAGAAACCAAAAAATATATCAACTGTATCGAGTGCGTAGTGACAATGGCCAAATTTAAAATGTAACCTACATTATAAATCTTCAGAAATGTATTGTTTAGTTCGCATATTGGTATTACCAGAAGTTCATCTTTGGTACTACCAGATAAATATAATGGCTTTTATTTATTCAATTTCCATTTAGAAAAACTGTCTTGTATTTTTATAAATTTGCAGTTTAAACTTTATGCACTTTCATCATTTTTCTGTTTTCTAAGAATTACACCAAAAATCCCATAAGAATTTCACAAGAAGTGAATGAATTTTATTACAGGTAGAGAAAGGGGAATTGATCTCAATTTCTGCAGAAGTTGGACTCTTTCCCTTTTGGATTTTGCAACATAGGCAATTAAAATGACTTCACTTTGTCAGAGGTTAGACTGATATCAAATTGTGTATAAAAATATAGTAGACATTTAGATAATGCATTTAATAAATTAGTAAGCATTATTCACACAGAAAAGCCAGGCCAACGAGAGACATGCATACCCATTGGGATCTTGCAGTAAATCTACTGCTTCTCTGAGCTGCTCAATCATTGCTATATCCATGTCCTGATCTTTGGACAAACTTATTCTGTAACATAAACCAAGTATGAGAATGAAAATGATTACTAAAACATGAGTATCATTTAGGTTCTTAAGAGTAAACTTATGAAACTCCATCTAATCTGTAAAAATGATTTTGACAAATTCAACATTACAGAGAAAACATATCAGTACCCTGCAAGGTAGGGGCTGGGGTGGTGGGAAGAGCCTTTGGGTAGAAAAGTCAGCTTAGTTCAACACCTCTGATCCCTCAACTGCTCTTGTGCACACTCAGGCAATGGGCTGGATGGATGGACCTCACAGTCTGCTTTCCTGAGCTCCACAGGTTTCTGCGGGGTAGTAACGACAGGTTTGCACACTTCCTAGCTTCCTACTCCAATTTAAGCAGCATGGGTCAGGTTTCTTACTTTGACACAATACAGGGCTCAATGTGAGAGAGTGGTTCTAGCCCGAGGCCCATGTACAGCAAAATAATCTGTGTGTAGCTTTAAAAACACGCCAAGTGGAATATTCCCAAGTAGGTCTGATACCAAGTAGGGTGGGATATTTTACAAAGCTCTAGAGATAATCCTGATTTACAGTTCAGGTTAAGAACAACAATGTAAAATTGAGAATAGTTTCCAAAGTTTTTCTAGTTTTAAAAAGAACTCTCTTTCCCTGTCATTCTGTGATTCTCTAATCAAGCTAGGACTCCCTGGAATTGCAGAAGTATATCTAGTGAAGAGGTGGTAATATAGACAGTAACTGGAGAGAAACTTTCCAGTACTTTTAAAGTGTGAGAGAGATTTGATCATCCTTAGATTTTCCTATCACAGAATACAGTATAAATCAGTCACTTTCTCTAAGTAGACAAAAAATTCAACAAATGATAAATCTTCCCTAAGTAGGGAGATCTCCACAAGGTATAAGATCATGGAAAATGTAATTCTGGGAACATGATATCTACTTTATGCCACAAGGTCCAAACTCAATTCCCCTGGAAATGCCTCATCATCTGATAAGATCACCTATCCCATCTTGTGAATCTTTCACAAATAAATCTTTACAGGCAGTAGAGTATAAATGATATTAACATGGCTCAAGATTTCTAAGGGCCAAATGTTTGTCCTCTATAACTTTGGGGCAAGATAATCTCTCTGTGCCCGTTTTGTTATCTGTGAAATGGACGACAACACCTCATAGGATGATGGAAAAAATGAATTCTGACCTGTGCCGTATTTAGGATAGTGCTTGCACGTACTATTTAGTAAATGTTAGCTATGATAGGTACCACTACTTGGGAACAGGACATTAGAGACTGCTGCTTCTCTAAGCTTTCAAACTAAAAAATTCCTGGGTAAAGAAGAGGACTAGCACTGCAGAGTGCTTCTGGTCCAGTTATTGGCTTCTTCAGCAAATGAAAGAATATACAATCTCTAATATGGACACACTAATTCTCTACATGACATTTCCACACACCATCTTAAATCAGATGAAACTCAAGGCCAACAAAGGTACAACTTTGCACAGTGCTATGGTTTGAGGTGTCTGCCCAGGATCCAGTGTGACTCTACTTAATCCCAAATGCCAGTTGAGGGGGTGAGACCTTTAAGAGGTGATTAGGCCACAAGGGCTCTGACCTATGATTTCTATCTAGATATCCCCTCAAAGCCTCCTGTGCTCATAGAGGAGGCTTTTAAGAGGTGACTGGGTCACAGGAGAATGATACTCATCAGTGGATTAGTCTGTTGAGTTTATAGCTAAATGTGCCATTGGGAGGCGAATCCTGGTCAGAGGAAATGAGTCACCGGTGGGCACGGCCTGAAAAGGTCTATCCCCCTTTCTCTTCCCTTGATTTTTCTCTGCTTCCCACTCCCACGCCTTGAGCTCTTTTTCCTCTGCTACACTGCCCTGCCTTAGACCCAGCCAACTATGGACTGAAACCTCTATAAATTGTGAGCCAAAATAAACATTTTCTCTTTAGAATTGTGGGTGTCAGGTACTGTGTCTCAGCAACAAGAGAACTAACACACCTCATGAGGGGAGTAATCCATTACACGAGTGGATTCCTTATTAAAGGGAGCCCTGCTCTCTCTTGCTATCTGTCCTGCACTCTCATGATATGTGGTGTCATCTGCCATCTACAATGCAGCCCAAATGCCCTCAGTATATGTAGCCCCTTCAACTTGGATTTTCTGGCTTCCAGAATTGTACATCAGATGAGTACTATCTATAGAGCACCAGTCTATGGTATTCCATTATAGCAGCATAAAACAGTCTAAGTCACACTGTGTAGCCCAATAATGTGACAAGCACAGGACACAGTAAACCTGCCAGCTTTTTAATCACTGGGTAAGACTATCAGCTTGTTCAAAGAAAAATGGGTCAAATTCCATCAGGACAGGACACTCAGTGTGCTACAAAAATGAACTTTTCAAACATAGTGGCCCATAACCAGGCCCTGACACTCACAGTCCCTCTGTCTGCCAGTGTGCATCCTCTTCTATCCGTAACAGCTCTTCACAGTCTTCTGCCCTGTCCTGTGGACAGAACAAACACGTTTCCTAAGAACCACTGGTCATTCAGTGAAGAGTTGAAACCTTCTCCAACCCACATCCTTGGCAGTGTAATTCACTGGAGCCGAAGGACAAGCTCAGTCTCCACAGGTGGATGAATAGACAACGAAACACGGTACAGACATATAAAGCAAGATCAGCCTTAGAGGGGAGCATATTTTCACATATGCTATCTATATGGATGAATCTCGAGATTATGCTAAGTTAAATAAGCCAGTCATAAAGGACAATAAATATGATTCCACTCATGAAAGGTACCTAAAAGTAGTCAAACTCATGGAAAAAAAAGCAGAATGTTGGCTGCAAGGGGCAGGAAGGAGAGATGGAAAAGGAAGAGTTGTTCAATAGGTCTGCTATGGTTTAGATCTAAAATGTCTCCAAAGTCTCATGAGTTTATGGGTGGAACTTCTGGAGGTGACTGGATCAAGCAGAGGTACCCTCTGCAGTGAGTTCATTGTTCAGTGTACCCTTAAGCGTTACAGCCTGGCTGGAGGTGCGGATCACTGCGGGTGGCTCACGGGAGCTGTGTCCTGGAAGAGTGTACAGTGTTCTTGCATAGCTCCTCTCTTGTCCCTCTACTTCCTGGCTACCAGGGTCAGCAGTTTTCCTCCTCCATATCCCTCCATCATGCCGTTTCTGCTTTGAAGCCAAAGGGAGTTCAAATCCTCTGAAGTCATCAGCCAAATTAAATCTCTCCTTTAAACTAAATTAAATCTCTCTTCCTTTAAATTGTAGGTGGTGAAAATTTTGTTCCAGCAACGGGAAAGTGACTAATACAGGGTAAAGTCTCAGTTTTGCACGATGAAAAGAGCTCTGGAGACTGACTGCCCCATAATGTAAATGTACGTAATGCATAGTGGGGTGTACACTTAAAAAATGGCTATGACGCTACATTTTATACTGTATGTATTTTACCAAATTAAACATTACACAATTAAAAACTGAAATAAAAATAATTTGTCTCAGGACTATAGCATCTGTTAGCTGAGTAGCAGAAATCGAAAGCTAAGTGGACTTTTTGCTCTTTTAGCACTTTCTGGCATTGACAGATTCCTGTCATACACTACAAGTGAACATGCATTCTAGTATTTGTGAGAAAAGGGGTGTATACTTGTGTGCATGTATGTGCTCTTAACAGAGACGTGCCTCGTGATGCATAGCGTAATTCCCATATTTACAACATCAGACATCTCTCAAATGTACCCTCCCCATGTCATTCCCTGAAGACACTGGAATGGGTGAACGCTCAGAAAGCCATGGCCACTGTGGCCCTCTCACACATTTATTTATGCTTTCATCTCTGACACAGAGAAATAACGATAACTAGGCTGACACTGCTGAATGGCTATGCGTCCCTGTCAAGGACAGAATGCCAGACAAACTGACCGAGAGGCACATCCTCACCTAACCCAAGACCAGCAAGCCAGGTGTGGCACTAGGATACCACTTTCCTCAAGGAGTAGCTGGTTCTCTAATGCAGTCTCTAGCTTAAAACACTCAAGTTTGGTTTTTTTTTTTTTTTTTGTTATATTGATTGAAAGTTTAGTGTACAATAAAGTCAACACAGAAATTGCTGTGTCACTGTCAGGATGACAGTGAAAGCCTTGGGTAAAAATGTCCTACCAGAAATGACATGGGTATTTCCTTCTGATTTTCAGTTTCAAAATGAAAATTAGCCAACAGTGTAAAAATACCTAGGTGTTTTTTTTCTTCTTTTCAGTATGCCAAAGAGCCTGAGTTTCTTTTACTAATTACAGGGTTATACAATGGACTCTACATTTGCAAATTGCCTAGTCACTAGAACTATTACTTGTGGTGCTTTCAAAGTCATTCATAGACATGCAGAGGGATGAAAAAGAGGAGCCTCAAGATGTACAGTTTTTCAGCTGAGTTGAAACAAGGTCACGCTCACAGTCTATTTAGTGCCATGTTTCCATATTTTTGTGCCATTTTAAAATTTCACCATTTAAAATGGTCCTAAACACAGTGTTGAGACACTGCCTTGTATTCCAAGCCCAAGAAGGCTACCAGGTGCCTGAAAGAGACTATAGGTGTGTTAGACACACTCTAGTTTGGTGTGAGTTACAGTGCTGATGGCTGTGAGTTCAATGTTAATGAGCAACAATATACAATCATGTGCCACAAGACGTTTTGGTCATTGGTGCATCATATTGACAACAATGGTGCACAAGAGTCTATTGTCCAGTGTTGCTCTAGCCATTTTAGTTTTGTAAATAAACTCCATGAAGATTGAAAAATGAAGAAACTGCCTACCAATGCATTTCTCAGAATTTTTCACCATCATTAAGCAATGCATAACTACATTAAATAAGATGTCTTTAAGCAGAAACATACATAGAACAAAGTTATGTATTGACTGGAAGATAAAAGTATGACCAAAGGCTCACAGGAACTTAACTTTGTATGTTCTCTAGGCACAGTCACTTAGTATTAGATAATTTAATATGCATTGTGGCTCCAGAAAGTATCACTACTGTGAATAATGAAAATAGACTGTAGTTACAGAAGTAGAGGATGTTAATCCAGTAATTAAGCCAGTGTCATAGAAAACAGAATTCTTGACCCTCCCAATAATTTGACACACTTGCTGGGTGTCAGGTACACATTCACAGACTGTTAAGAGTGGTGTCAGACAAACCCACTCTGGGTCTGATTTCCATGTATGACTTTTCCTTTTCCTTGTTGTAGATTCCGGTTTTGTTTAGTTACTAGCATTCTTCGATTGACTTTCCAGGATAAGTATCTTCTAGGAAACATTTTCCAAGTTGATTTCCTCAGAATGATAGTTAATCTGCAAGTGTCCACAGAGTCCTTTGCCTCCTGAAATCTCTTTCTACTTGTACTTTTCTGAAACAGTATGCTTTTCTTCACTAATTGCTTTGTTTTCTAAATTTGAGCATCTTGTAAACAAACTATTCATAGTTTCTATCTTTTGATTCTCAATGTAAGATGAACTCTGGATAAAATGAAGAAAAATCTAGTTTTTCACATTTCTATAGTTTAATTGCACACAGAAGTGACAGACAGGGGTCAAACCTGGGAGAGCTTTATGAAAACCACTGGCCTGAGAATATTGAAATTAGACTGGTACTTTAAGAAAACATCTGGTGACAGAACATAGAATATGCGCGCGCACACACACGGTGTGGGGTTGGATGAAGAGCTGATGGATGCACCTGCAGTTATCCGGGTGAAAAATGAGGAGGCTCAACCAGCATAACATCAGTGAAAGTGGAGGGCAGAAACAATAATTGATGGGCTAATGACAGATTACAATTAGAGAGTAAACTTCCTGTATTTTATCCTTCCATTTTTTATTCTTTTTCTTTTCAGTACTGAGAATTGATCCCAGGACCTTTATACAACTACATCCCTGGCCCATTTTTATTTTTTATTTTGAGATGAGGTCTTGCTCAGTTGCCCAGGATGGGCTTGAACTTGCATTCCTTCTGCCTTAGCTTTCCAGAGAGTTGGGATTATGGGTAAGCACCACAATGCTTGGGTTCCTTCCACATACTTTTGTAATTATTTTAAATCACTATATTCCATACACATGTGGCAGGTTTGTTATTTCTGTCTTGAGGGCATAAAGACAGTTTGAGCACATGAGGGTCTCAAGTAGTGTAAAAGTCAGCTTGTCTCCCCTCAGTACCTTGAATGTGACCCCCAGAGGTGTGTGTTTAAGCTGAGTGCAGACATCATGACTTGATCCTCAGAAAATACGGATGGCTTCAGATGTTCCATTCTTGGCTTCAACGATGATCTGCCTGACCACCTAAGAATTCACTTGCCCTTTCAGTATCTCAAGGCAACTGCAGCTGTTTGGGAATAAGTGTCTTTAGAGATATGTGTCCTAAGAAGTTTATTTCCAGATTTTCAGACTCTCCACTCTTCTATCCAGTATTTTTGATGCTCAACAAATTAGAGATTTTAGAAAGCCTAAGACTTCAGAGTTTCAGATTAGGGATGGTCATCCACCTATGCAAACATTTACAAAGTGGAAGAACTCTAAAACGGAAAACAAGCACTTTGGATGTGGGATAATCTGTTTTCTCAAGCAAAATATTCACCTAGAGCATACTAAGAATATGAAACTTCTTTAGCTTTTTCTGAGTAGTAATGGTAACTCTAGGTTTGTTGCCTAAATCAGTGAGGAGTAACCAGCTGAGGAATAAATGAAGACAAGAACAAATATGCATATAACCAAATAAATGTGGAGGCATGCATGGCCAAAGCCAGGTCCTAACGTCAAAAAACAGACATGCTAAGCTTTAAGAAGATGAGCTACAAGCATCAGGAAGGCTATAGAAAACTGGATTTTGAAGGTGATGGATTGGAAACCTTGAGCTTTAATTCTGGTTGTCAAATAGAAGAAAATGAGTACAAAAAAAATTAGTTACTCAAAATCTTGCCTTAATATAGTTCATATATCCTGAGCGGAGAACATCTGCTCCATCAGCAAACTGGTCTCCTTCTTGTCCTGAGTTGTTGCTGTCACCCAAGAGGGAAGGCTCTGGTTGAAATTCCTGATGAAATTCCCCTGTCAGAGAAATACAGAGAAATGAAGATGCATGATTTCATGAACAGAAGCACAAGGGAGACATGATCTGCAAATATGCCATCTGATGGTTCATCTTCTCTCCTCTTACCTATTATGAAGGTACATGAATGACTGAAATGTTCTCTTCCCTGCAAGACGTGAGGAAAAGATTAAAAATAGGAGGAAGAGAAAGAAAAATAAAAGCAACAGAAAGCCCCAATTTAAAAAAATTCAGGCCTCTTTATGGCTTAACTCATGAAAGAAACGAATTTTCCCTTGTGTGTTTAAGAAATGGAGAAATTATAAAAGGGGGTTTAGTAATATGTGACTAATTACTTCAGATTATAAGCTCAATAAATATTTTTTGAACAGCTGCTATAGCAGATACGCTATGCACTTTAGGAACTTTTAAAAAATCAGTTAAGTACTCCTGTACTTAAGTAGTAAATACTCCCAAGGAACAGTGTGGGATAAGACTAGACAAAGAGCCCCAAATCCTGGTAACAATGGAAATTACAACACACAGAGGTGGTGAATACCAAATTAGAACAAGTTCCAAGGGGTGTTGGGAGGCAAAAGGCATGCTATGTGGGAACTATTTTGACCCACTTGAAGACTACAAAGGACCAAACAGGGCCATCCTCTAAGTGCTGCGAGCCAGCAGGATACTCAGGTCTAGAGCAGGGGAAAAACTCACTCATACCACACTATGGAATTCTCTTACTTGAAAAATTTGCCTACATCACAGCCCCCTATACTGCATTATGTTACAAAGTTTTGCTGAATTAACGTGGTAGCAGTTGTATTTGTATGTAAGTATTATACACAGCTATATTTTTGGACAATGTATGGTTCCAACATCATCTATTAATTGCATGCTAAAGTTAAAAATGTAAAAAGTGAAAGCAAATATGAAAATTTTGAGTTACTTTAACTAGTTCTCTCATAACTAACAAGAGCATATTCAAAGGGAGATAATCTATATATTACTACACTATTTATATATCATAAAGTAATTTCTGCCACAAATCAATAAACATTAAATTTTAGTTTTTCTTTCAAAGTCACTGAGGAAACAGAAGCCATCAAAACACCATCATAATGTAACTCGAGCGTATGAAATATGTATTTTGAAGAGATTTGAAGGGAATAGGATTTTGAAGATATGCATGTCTCTACTGAATGATCACTTGGTGATTACTGAAGAGCTACAGAACTTGAGACTTACAAAGGAGACTAGAAATGATCTCAGCAAATAATTTCATTTATAAGAGAGAAAATTAAGAGCAACTGACTGTCCAAAGTCATGCAGATTCCTGAACACAAATCTTACTAGGGTCATGGAATGAAGTGTGTCTTACAAGTGATGGGCCCTACTCTCAGGCCCAGCCCACAGAAGCCCCACCACGAGCAAACCTCCATGCTCTTCCCCTTTCTTACTTAAAATTAATGGATATGGGAACTTTGGATGTCCTGTGTTAACAACAGTGGAGTCACAGATGAAAGGAGTGTGGGTCTTTGGATCTACACTTGGATGGGAGCTGCGAGCAACAACTAACATGCATTTGGACTTAATTTGGTTTGCATTATGTTATTGAGATTTGGAGATTTTATGTGTGACAGCTGCTAAAATATCATTAGTAAGTCCAAGTGGGCATTAGTGGTTGTGCACTTGCTATTTAAAACACAGCATTTGACTGAAAAGCAAGCAGTGCCTGTCAGACCTGCAGCTGGGGTAAGGCGATGGCACACATCCTCCTTGACAATCTGCTCTTCTTCCATGATATTTGACATTGGCACATTGAGGCTGACCGCATCTTCATCAGAAGGCTACATGGATAGAGAGCACTGCTTCATTCAGGGAAAAAGTTTTACCAGCAGTGATAAAAAGAACACTGTACAATAAACAATGTCTTGTGATTCTTACAAACGTCATGCTGAATAAAAGACTCCAAACCAAAGGATATTAAGGTTATTTCCACTTACATAAGTTCAAAACAGCAATAGTGACCTATGGTGTTTTAAGTCAAGAGTGGTTAGGGTTGGTGTGTGAGTGAGGCTTTTTAGGTTGTTGCTAAAGCTGTTTCTTTCTTTCTTTCTTTCTTTTTTTTTAACAACAGCAATGTTTTATTAATGGTAGGAAAAGGAAGCTCTGCAGAGTGAATTTGGCCCAAGTTTACATAGGAAAAGAAGTACAATGTACAGTGTGAGGAAGGACCACCAAGCAAGAGAAAACACGGTGGCTAAAGCTGTTTCTTAAACTCTGAGCTGTGTGCATGAGTTTACTTTGTGAAATAGTGTTCTATGTGTGCTTCTCTGGATGCATGTCTTGAGCTGAAATCTTGTCAAGTACCTGTTTTTCTAAATGAACAGTGATAGTAAGGACATTAAAAATGATTGTGTAATATGTAATATTCAACATGACAAAGTAATTGAGCTGAAATCTTGTCAAGTACCTGTTTTTCTAAATTAACAGTGAGAGTAAGGACATTAAAAATGACTGTGTAATATGTAATATTCAACATGACAAATACACTACCACATTAGTTCTAAGTTTAATCAATCATTTTAATAGTAGGTGTACTCTGAAATTTAATAACAAATCTAATTTTCCAAAACTATATGAAGGTTTCATGCCTGTAGCCACAGAAAGCAGGAAGTCAACCTCTCTGACAGTATTTCATTTACTTAAGAGTGCATCTCACATGTGACAGTAACCATTAGTTTACTGCCCGGACTTTGGCTGGGAAAGCTGAGCTAAATATACAAAAGTGCTGAGCAAACGTAGTAGTCAAAAGAAGCATATATTCTGAGAGAGTTTTGTTTTGTTTTGAAGTCACAGGGAGCAGGGACCTCCACAAAACAGCTCCTCAGCACTTGGGACTCTGACTTTCAGAGTCTGCCTCTGTTTACCTTTGGCCAGAAACAAAACTGTTTACAAAGAGAACAGAACAAGTGTGAATTTCATTCATCACACAGCTATTCAGGGACCCTCAAAGGTTCTTGAGAAAAATGTGTTTCCAATTTCTCTGTAACAAACCCTGAACCAATCTGGAATGGCAACAGCAAAAGGAATGGAATGAGGAATGACCTGCTCAGTCCCAAAATGAGTTGCAAACACATTTGCCAATGTGAAAAATAGAACACTGTATAGGACAATTCACAACATTTACCATTCTAAAAATAATTAATTTCTTGGAGGCATTCTTAGGTAATGAGGTTATAATGTGAGAAAAGGCCAAAGAGAAGCTTTATGCATTTTATTCCACTGAATATAGTATTTTCTATAGTTCCTTTTCCCTCTACCCACCTGCCATCGTAAAAATTTAGCAAATTCCAAAGATATGCATTTAATTAAAAAGGAGAGAATAAATCCTTGGGCTCCTAAATGATGTTAGTATCCCACTTACACTAAGTGCAAAGAGAAGGATAATGAAGTTCTTTGTGTAATGTTTTATTAATGAACTTAATTAGTCTTAGAAGACAGATACAGGATAATGCACAGTCTGTTTTATTTTAATAGAAAATAAGCTTAGGGTGAGTAATTTCTGTAACAATGGTCCATTTAAGCGGACTTATGGGTTTTAATAAAGCCGAAGGGGATGAATTAAAATTCAACTTAGGGAACTATGTGCTTAATATTCCCACCCCCACAAGGGCACAGCAGTAAATTATGTGGCTTCATGTGGGTTAATTTCTTTTACTGACATAGGCCTTTATCTATCTACTGATTTCTTCTTCCTTTCAAAATGTTCTGTGTTTGAAAACAGATGTTAAGGAATCATAACTCCTTTTTCATATATTGCTTTGTCTTTTGTGAGAAGAAATTTAAACATCTTAGCCACCTATTATTAAACCTCAAAGACTTGAGGAGAACTGAGAAAAGGCTTTATCCTGGAATCACATTTAGTAACAATGTGACTTCCTTAGATAGGGTGATTGACCTATTAATTACAACTTCAAAGAGTATCGTATTTCCAAATTGAAGAACTACAAAAACTCAGTTACCTCCCTCAAAAAGGGTCCCTTATAACACCTATCCTTTTTGTTCTTTGGGTCAAGAAGCACGACTTTGTGGTATATTAATGCAAGGTTTGGGGGAGCTAATAGATGCATAAGGTGATAAATGTGTCAATAAAGACTGCCTTGTTCTTAAATTCTTCAGGCTATAGGAAGTTCTAGTGTATAAAAACTCTTGGTTTACAAATCATCAGACTTTCATTCAATTATCTAAGCAGAATAGAACAATCTAAGAATTTCAGAAAAATAAATGTTGTTATAAAAACTGTAGGTACTCGGGTCTGGGGATTTAGCTCAGCGGCAACGCGCCTGCCTGGCAAGCGCAAGGTCGTGAGTTCAGTTCCCGGTACAGGAGAAAAACAAAAACAAAAAAAAAAACTATAGGTACTCATAAATTTATCTTGTCACAAACTGCCAAAATGCAATGCACAGTATATCTGATTCCTTCACATTTACGTATGCTTTTCACAACTTTTTGCTAAATTACTGTCACTTAAAAACAAGAGTATTTATAAAAGTGCTTCCTGAGTCCCTGAATACCACTTACCCAATTCATAATACTTATTAACCATTCAAGAGTATTCTAGATAATGCATGTGAGTGAGAGAGGAAGAAGATAGGGACTCGAGGCATTTAAAAAATATTAAAGATGCAGAATATGTTAACAGTAGCTAATATTTACACAACCCTTACAGGATTTCAAACTCCTTTCACAGACATGATCACAAAGTCTCAGTCATACACCAACGCCCTTTACCATGCAGGAGTTCAGTGGGTGCAGGCAGATATGTATACACAGAAGCATGAAAGAGAAAGATCTGATCTCTGGGTTTACCTCAGTGGCAGATAATCGCTTATCTCCATTATCACTTCCAACTCCTGAGTCAGAATCCTTCTTGCTGGGGTAGATGCCATCAACATAGAATTCATATAGGAAAAATTAAAATCACAGAGTCCCCAAGATACATCACTTTACATTCTAATAATAACTTTGCTACACAGATTTTATTATTATAAGGCAACAAATTAGTCTAGTACTTAATAATATTAAGACACACACCTAAAGAAAATTATATACTTGTACCATTTAAGTACATAAGATAAATTCTTGGTGTTTATTTCCTTAGACTTCAAGTTGTTTCTTTCAAATAGTTACCAATTTTCTTACTTTAGCATATAAAAAAGCAGCAAAGCTACTTAACTGCTTTTATCTCTTAGGTTACGAAGTGTTACTTTCAATAGTTTTGTATACTTTTATTAAGTGATTAAATTTAGTGGTATCACACAAACATAAAATGATAGAAACATATTTGGTTGTGGTGGTGCACACTTATAATCCCAGCACTTGGGAGGCTGAGGCAGGAGGATCATTGCAAGTTTGAGACCAGCCTGGGCTACAAAGTAAGCTCAAGGCTAGCCTGAACTGCCTAGCAATAGCCTGTCTCAAAAGCACAAAAAAAAAAAAGTGTTGGTATGGGAATCTGAAATTTGTTTTTATTTAAAGAGAAAAAGAGAAAAAAAAAAACACAAAATAACAACAAAGACACAAACAAAACAACACAAACCCAATAAAAATCATGCAGGATTTCAAAACAAGATGACAGGAATTAACAATGGTCGTTATATTACATATTGTTATCTTCCATGAAGTTGCTCAGATTACCAGCTGTAAAACGCAAGAAATTTTAAGTCATCCTGTTTAGCAAAAAGTAAAGGAAAAGATTTCTGTAATGAAGAGTCCTCAAAAAGGATTTACATTTCTATGAATATATTCAGTGTGGAAATTTTGTTCTCTGGAAGCTCAAAGCTTGATTTATGCCACAAATGGCCCAAGAACGTGTGAAAGGATTCTAACATGTCCACTCAAAACAGGAAGTGGTAAAAAGCTATGCACACTGCATTTTTAAAAGACAACTGAAAAATAAAGCCTGCAGCTTGTCTAACAATGCTTTGGAAACATACTGAACACTAGTAAATGATTAAAAGGCATAGCTAAGCTTGACATATGGTAGTTACCCACAATGGTAAGTAAAAAATACTCATTTTTATATTACAGATCTTATTTGTAAGTATCTACACACACATTCAAGCAGCATAGATTCTTGATTAGAAGATGGCAGAGGGATCTGAGAGATGATGAGTGTTCAACAGTAGCCATTATTCTTCATCGGATAGTTTCTAAATGTTGAATCATAAATTTTAATTGATTGAGTGAGACTAATAACTGACCCAGGGATGCCTTTTTCAAGATTCTTAGATAACTGTGATATAATTAAAAAAGGAAGATAATGCGTATGCATGTGTGTGAGTGTGTAACTGTGTGACTGAACACAGGGCCGTTGCAGTGAGCTACTCCCCACTCCTGACTTCTTTTTTATCTTGAGACAGAGTCTCACTAAGTCATTAAGTGGCTCAAGCTGGGCTCAAACTTGCCATCTCCCTGCTTCAGCCTCCCACAGTGCTGGGACTGCAAGTGTGTATCACCATGAGTAAGGTTTTGAAATCAGTTACCTGGACACCTGTGGCCTATGCAGATTCTCAACAGAGACTGAATGAAGACAACAACTCACCTGTCTTCCACTTGCTGGTGCAAATGTGGCCTCTCCATGGTGTGGAGATACAGGGAGTCAGCTGTCTTGATCTGGCACGCTTGTATGCTCAGATACTTAAATATGTGCACTTTTCCCTTCGTGCAAATCTACAGAGAAATTAATCATATATATTTACTTTCCAATGACAAAATAAAATGCATCAGACACCTGACTATACATTTCAATTTTCAACATTTCATTTCAGTAACACTCTTCCTAAAATGTATACTTAATTTGACCTCTCCAAAACATGTATGAACTTGGGAAACTGTTTCCTCTAAATTCTACTGCATTGAAAGTATTCAGAAAACCATGTTCAAGCAATTTCTATTTTTAAAATTAAACTACAAAATTCTAACAGAAAAATACTTAAGTATAAATAGTGTAAAAAGTGTAAGAATAAGGAAACTGGATTGGTAATATTCAAATTACAAAAGATGGCAAAAATCACAATTATTTTCTTTTTTTTGTTTTGTTTTTGTTTTTGTTTTTTCTCTGGTACCGGGAACCGAACTCACGACCTTGCGCTTGCCAGGCAGGCGCTTTTGCCGCTGAGCTAAATCCCCAGCCCCACAATTATTTTCAAGCCTATAAAAAAGCAATTAGGAGCTTAAAAAATAATTGTATGCTTAAGAAGTTGTTTAATAATTTGGAGAGAAAATAAACTAAAATATAGACCTGGATGGTTATCTGAAAGCGTAAGTATTTCCAATGACTAACCACGCTGTTTAAGGCCATTCATATCTGAACCTGAGTCCTATCTCCATATAAGCAATAATCACATTTTAAGATGCTTAAATCCACCTTCCAGCTAATATTCAAACAACAAATATATTACTCCTTGTTTATCTTTCTTTTTTGATTTTTATTTTTTATTTATTTTTCTTTTAAAATTTTATTAGTACCTGTTTGCAGTACATGAATAATTACATTCCTTATGGGAAATTGGTGCAGGTACATAACAGACCTCCAGTCTTTTCTTCCCTTGCCCTCCACCCCCCATCTTTTGCCAGCATCAGATCCATTTATAACTTCTTATAAAGTTAATCATCTCTGCTTGCTTCAGCAGCACATATATTAAAGTTAATCATCATATACACAGATTAAGAGCCAGTCTATAGGCCAAGAAACATATAAAACACATATGACAATTGTACTAAGACAAGATACACTTTTAGACACATTGTCTATGCTAATATATTACTCCTTTTGTAAGCTGTAACCTTCTTGAAAAAGTTTCAAGTGCACATACAAACAATAATCAAACACATAATTCAGGGGTTGGAGTGATCAAAATATTGAGGCAAATGAGGGTAAACACATCTGAAGCAGTAAAAGGCAACTTAGTATAGTCAAATTTACCCAAGGTTTCATCTTTTTAGAGCTACTGACTGCTTCTGATCATGTCTAGCACAGAATTAACTCAGTGGAGAACTGCAAACCCAGCTCTGTGGTCAGCTTCCCAAGTGTTCGCGAGAGCACGCTCCTTGGGGGGATGGTTTGCTGGGAGCCCCTACCTGGGCTGGAGGAGACTGCAGTGGGTTATTCTCAAGCAGTAGCACTTGCAGCTGCTTCATCTCTCTAAAACAGATTGGGATCACGAGCACTTTGTTGCAGGAAAAGTCAAACTTTACCAAAGGAAGATCTACTAATTCTAAAGGAATAGAAAAAAAGAAAGAAATCTCAGAAAGTAACACTATTAAATGGCTAAGGCTTCAAACATTTGTTTTCCACTTAATGGGAAATATATCACTTAGTAGAATCAAAAGCAAGTTGTGTATTAGGAATACATGGTATGTTGTACATGTATGTATTTCACTAAACAGGATAAATCTTTCATTGGGGGTTCAATAATTTTAAATTGTGCTTAGTTCTGATAAAGCTAGGAATATTTGACATTTGCAATGTATTGTTTACAAAGCCTTTTCTTCAGCTAAAAAAAATCACATAAGCCATGCCACTTGTGATATGAATGTGTTTTAACTTTAAGCTGTTTTCTGGCAGCACTTGCTAGCACATGACAAATATGCCAATTGCAGAATATTCTTATCTATTCAATGTATCTGTGTTGGCACACTCCTAGAACTAGTTAAAGTAACTGTGTTCCTGATCTTTTCAAATCCATTTAAAAAAACTTTTAAAATTAAATTTAGAATTTTCCAATAGGCCCTATAATTCTGATTTGATGAGGTTTTATTTTGATCCTTTTAAAGTTTTTCTGGAGCTCTGCAAACAAGATAGAATATTATATTTAGCTTAAAATCCCCACCCAGTGGCATAGTAAACACTCAGTAATTTCAAGCATTCAAACCAACATTGGCAGCTGCTGGAAACGAAGTCAAATATATTCTACAGAGCAAGGAGAGGCTGAGCCACACCAGGATCTAGGATGACGCTGGCAGATCACTGAGATCTGTCTGTGCAGGCTGCACAGGTTTGCTTCAGAACGGGGCCTTAGCACTTTTGTTATGGGACCACTGAGGGCTAAACATGTTGCTTTAAAGTACTCCAGGATTCCCAAAGACGAAGGGCAAGAACTAGATACAGGAAAGGAAGTGTAACCAGGAGTGAGAATTCACACTGTCCTCTTCCCTCCACTGCCTTTACAGCTAAAGCTCTTCAACTTCTGCCAACAAGGATTTACCTGCTAATGGAAGGGATTTCCTTCTTTCATACTTTACCAAACTACTTGGTCTTATGAAAGGAAAGGGTCGTGGAACTGAAATTCTGGAGGAGGAGGAAGACCTCACTGCCAGATCCCAAAGCCAAGGATCCTGCCTTTGAAGAATGTCCTGAGTAGTTCATCATTTGAACCCAACTCTCCTCCCCACTCTCAGGACTAGCGATGGGTCTCAGGCCATGTAGTCACAACGTGTGTTCTGATGAAAGGGCTGTGACAGCCTTGAGGTGGAGGACTTGCAAGCATGAAAGTGAGAGGAAGGACAAACTGTGGCTCCCTTTTACTTTACATTTTCTAAAACAGCTAAAAATAAGGGCCTTACATGAAATAAAGGCCTGCTTTACAGTCCACCGTATTTCCTCAAGTTACTCCTGATCTTCAGCAATTCTTTGCCACTTAAAATGAAGGCTCTGAAGGAAGACTAGAGGGCTGTATTTATAGAAAACATAGCAGGAGTAACTTACAGGTAGATGAAATTAGGAATCCTTTCCTTTTGGTTCCAGTTTGGAACACAATTTATATAGCACTTCAGGAAAATGAGAACAAGACAGTTTCACAGCCATAAAGTGGGAGAGCAAATGATACCCCACTGTAAGGGCAGCCAAGAAAAGGTGAAGAGAAAGGGAGCAGGAAAAGGGAAGAAAGAAGAAAAAGGAGGTGGAGGAAGAGGGAGGGGAAGAAGAAGCTGAAAGGGAGAAGGAGGAAAAGGAGTCTCACTCCCTCTACTTCGAAGGGGGGAATGCAGTTATTTTAGTTCTGTTCGTTCTGGTCCTGGAAAAAACAAAACATGGTCTTCTCACTGTGGTAAAGCCAGCACGAAACTGATATGGGTGATTACGCCACAAGCCTGTTTTCTCCTCTTCAAGTAGAAGCACAGGAGGTGGGGTATCCAAAGAGGACAACCGTGGGAGTAAATATGGAAATTTCTGAATGCACTGCCTGAATGCATCTTTACTGCTTTTTGTTAAGACTTCTCCAAAGTGAAGCAAAAAGAAATGTGATATTCAGTAAATTATTAAAAGAAAAAAGATTTCCTAGTAAACCAAAGTTTTAGTTTTGAGTATATTTTAAAATATGAAAACTGAGAAATTGTAACTATGGAAAGTAAGTGGTTTGTAACTGATCTTTCTGGGGAAAGGATGCTTTTATAGTAAGAGAACAAGAGGTGCTGGGGTTGGTTTTACAGGTGCACTCTTTCTCCACAGTTCAAACTCTCAGCAGTAACTGCAAATGATATAATTAATTTTTCCTTTTGGAAATGGGAATTCAATTATTTGTGACACTTTCACAATGATTAATATGGAAACTTAAATTTAAATGAATGTTTTCTTTAACGCCTGAAAAACTATCTATGTGCAAATTTGTAATTAGAGCTTTCTTTTTATATCTGCTTATACCAAGAAAAGTAGTTTTATATATTTCAAAAATGGGACTGGACAATGACAAATTAAAAATAAATATTTCATATGAATGCATGACAAGTATCAACCTTACGGATATAACTTCTGATTCTATTTCTTTAAAATATAGAATAGAAAGGTGCAAGCTGTCAGGCAAACACATGCATCTTCTATCCATCAAGTACACTACATCTTACAAAATTCTGTGGCATGGCTTCATGAGCTCTGTTTTCTTTCTTGAACAATGAAGTATTTTAAGCTAAAGATCAAGATACAGGAACAGGATAGTAAACCTCAGGCAGCTCTCAGATGACTTCGTCAACATCAAATTTACCTATAACTGACTTATTCCAAATACAAGCTTTTGCTTTGAGGTACATTTTTAAGTGTATATTTGCAATTGGCTGTACCTAGAGTCCTTAAACAAAAACAGTAAAAGTCAACAAGATCATTAAAAACCAGTGTATGCACTTTGTGTTTTGCTGCCCATCAACTCATTCCTGATCCACTTCAACCCAAATATATAATTCAGATCCACTACCATGAACAGGGCAACTTCCAAGCGCTCATGATACAAAATTTCTAAATAAATTTATATTCTTACTTGAACTGTATGCCCTGTTCAGGGAACACACTGCAGAGGCCACGGCTGTCAGAGCAGGGCTGTCTGAGCAATTCCATGTTCTGGCTGGGATAGCTGAGTCTCAATGCTGAGCCCCTGGAGCCATCACTGGTGAAATTCACCAACATAACAGTGACACCAGTCCAAGATCACTCAGCAGAGGCAGGCCTCACCTGAAAGCAGAGTCTAGGGATTGGGTTCTCAACTAGGACTCCCAGGCTAGAAATGCTGATGGCCAGGACTTGCAGGGCTAAGTATGTTCCATAAACTGTTAGATTTATATTCCAAAACATCATACAACTGTCCAAAAACCATTCATGCTGCTCCTATTGTGGACTTGCTGTGTCCCCTACCACCAAATGCACATGTGGAGGCCCTAACATTAGTACGTCAGATTGAGATTATATTTGGAGACAGGACCTTAAGGGGGTAATTAAGTTATAATGAAGTCTGGGGCTGAATCCTAATCCATTGGCCTCATCATAAGAAGAGGCTAGGATACAGATATGCAGAGGGGAAATGACATGAAGGCAGGGAGGAGAAAGGGGCTCTCTACAAGCCAGGAAGAGAGACCAGAAGAAGCCAACAAGGCCAACATCTACATCTCAGACTTCTAGCCTCCAGAACCATGAGAAGATAAATTTCTTTGATTTAAGCCACTTAAGTCTCTGGTTCCTTTCATACTAGCCCTAGCAAATGAATAAGTCAGCCCTCCTGACTCCACAGAACTATACAGAGGAACCATGTTGCTGTAGCCCTCAATCTACACTGTTTCTTAAACATCACTTTTCTGTCATCTCATGTGAAATTCAAACTTAATATCAAAAGACATACACATACAGAAGATCTGTCTTCTCTCCACAAAAGTAAACCAAAACAATAGTAAAAGTCTCCTATTTTCTTAATTTTCCCCTTCTTTTTTTACCTGGTGGTAAAACTTTAAGATAATTTCTTCTGACATTCAGTTCTCGGAGAGACTTTAACTGGCCTATCTGCTGTGGCAATGCTGTGATCTCATTGCAGCTTACATCCTGCATCAAAAGCAAGCAAAGGAATCATAAATGCATTTTTCCACATAAGCATGCAATTCATATGAAATTTCCTTAAGGAACTTTGGATAACTATGTGGATATACTTTTACACTGGTCTCCAGGTCCCTACAAGTCAGGCCCAGTGCACAGAGGAAAAAAAAGGAAGTTCAGTTTTAAACACCCTTTCAGGAGAGAAAAAGGAGTTAAAAAAGGATATTCATACCATTCAGTGGCTGCTTGTCACTCATTTTTCACGTATCTTGGTTTTATTTAATTCTCACAACAAAGCCAATATTACTAGCCTAATACTTCAGATCAGGAAAATGAGGCTTGGTGGCCCAAGGCCTGCAAGCACCAGTTAACACTAGAAAGGAATTACCACCCATTGTTAAGCCACTATCTCTCAGGGCCTCTAACGGGAAGGAAGATTATAACGCATCCTATTTTACCAAGCTCCACAGTCAGGAGTATTAATGCTCTGTGTGCACACATTATTTATTTAAAGTGGAGGTTTTACTATGTGGCTGGAAACCCTGTAGCTAGCCAATCATTTTCCCATACAATTTATAAGTAAGACTGTGGGAAATAGGCTTTTGTAGTCTTTGGTTTTAGAAGGCTAATAACACCCATTAATCTTTGATTGGAACCATCTTCTGATACTCATGAAATGGAAGCCATGATATTTGTAATCTTATCCTTGTTATTCCCTAATCTATCTGTACCCCTTGGCCCGTCTCTCTTCTCTCTCTGACCCGTTTCTCCTTTAGTCTAGATAAGCTTTTAACCTCTCACCTGGACACTGTAAATCTCTTGCTTGGTTCGAATACATACATTTTCCCTCCTATCCACCCTTTACAGAGCTGTCAGAGTGCACGCTGCATTGTGTTGTTCTGCAGCAAGACCAGCACCTCTGATGGGGCCTGTCAATTCCTCCAGTGCCGTTTCTCTGAATGCCCTCCCTTGCTTCCTACACTCGAGCCTGGTGATCACTACTTGCAGTTCTCTGGGTGCGCCAAGCTGCTGCACAGTATGCAGGCTCTTCTGGGCCTGATCACTCAGTCCTTGATAGTGTCCTCTTGCCCCACTTACTTACCTCTTCTGGTGTAATTCAAGCTTCAACTTTCTCTTTGAAATCTTTCTCAAGGTTCACCCTACCTCTCCCACTCTGATTCAATACCTAGGAGATAGACCACTTTTCCATTTGGGGTCCTGTGGACAGCGTGTTACTGCAATTCTCTTGCTCATGGGTTCACTTTTCCCTTTAAGCCTATGAGACCAACTCTGTTTCAAAAGAGCCCTCACACAAGGATTACAGGCCAGGTTAGAAATATAACGCAGATTATTCTAGTACACTCACGACCAGGCACCCATCATTTTGGTGATGGTGGTGGTGGTGGAGATGGGGTGTGAGAAAGAGTTAGTGGGAATTACTTTCCAACTTTAGGAACAATTTATGTTACTGAACTCTAAAATGGGCTTTTCTAAGTCCTGTGACTTTGCACAAGACCCTTTTGCATACTGTGGAAATCACAGATTTTCCATGTGAAATTTTCAGAAGTTTCAAGGACTTAATTATTAAGAATAAACTTTCTCTTAAAAAATAACGAGTAGGGAGAGGGAAGCAAAAAGATATTTACGCAGCATATGCACAGCATGAAATATGCTAAAATGAACTTCCATTTTTTAGCAGGAGCCACACACATCTTGCTCTGGGTGGATCATCCCATGAAATCAAGGTATTACTGTTCCCTACATGTAAGGTCATTTTTCTAACATTTTTTTGGTAGTGGTCATTTTTGCTGTTGTTGTTGTTTTTGTTTTTTTAAGATACTTTGATCTTACTATGTACCCATGGTTGGCATGGAACTCATGGAGGTCCTTCTGCTTCAGCCTCCTGAGTTCTGGGGTTACAGGCATGAGTCACCATGCCTGGCTTCCAACATACATTTCTAATATAATGATCATATCAAAGAATATCAATTCCTGCCAGCTATATTCACTTATCAGTAGAGAAAACAGTTAATATATTTTTTTAAAACTTTGTATATGATAAAAACAGTATTTTCCATGTACTAAACAGGACATCTGCAGACAGAAACACAAAGTCCAGTTGTCCTTTCACATTCTGAAAGATATATAGAAAATGTCAGATTGTTTAATGATACTGTGCACTGTTGTCAATTACTTCATATCTGGGAGTAAAAACAGCCGGAGGAAAATGCCCATGCAGCTCTAGCACGTAAAAGAGACCAAGTCTTCTCATCATTATACAGTCAATATTGTAGAAAACAGGGCAAAACTCTACTCCCTCAAAAGTTACTGAACTTTGGTGGCCCAAGGCCTGCAAGCACCACTTAACACTAGGAAGGAATTACCACCCAAATTTTAAAGAGGCTATGAATTTCACCACAAAACTAAAATCCCATGGGCAACTGTTTTAATTAGCTAAAGAAGGAGGAAGAAAGAAGAGATGATTGCATAGGTGCCTAGGGATAAGATGCATCAGCTTTAAAAACATACAAGCAATATTTCTGGACTTGCCCCGTTTTCTAGAATATTTCTATCCAAATATAGCCTAAGATAAGGTATGGAATTTTTTTAGTAACTTTAAAATAATTTAGGAAGACAAAATTTAAAAATAGCATTAATAATTCACCCTTTTGCAATTGGTAAGAATTATCAGGTTACAAATTCCAGACTGGGTTACTTATTAGTACAGTCAAATTAATTCTGCCCGAATTTTCTCTTAGCCCTAAGCTATGTCTTAAAAGAATAATTATTTCAAGCTTCAGTGAAATAAAATTACCATATATTTACTGTTATAATATTATTAAGTTTTTTATTGACCAACCAGTTCAATTTTGTCATTTACATAAAAAAACAAAATGAAAAATTCTATCACTTAAGTTTTATCTATTTTCCACTGGTTTAACCATCCTGTTTTTAAGTAAACAAAAGAAAAACTTTGGAAATTAACATCCTCTTTTCATCACAAAAGCCTCTGGAATTATTAAATGCATGTGGGAGATAACTAAGTGCTAGTTGCCTTAGCCAGCTGCCTTACCCTCAGAATGCAAAACTGAGAAGGATTTCAAATACAGGAATAAACCCCTAGGGGGTTATTAGCTATATAACACTCACTTTCAGAAAACAATACTGTAAACAAAAGACAAGAGTATTTTAAAGGTATGATATCCAACAAAACCAGCGCGACCTCTGCGTCCAGACGGTCTTGGAGCAGAGTCCAGAGAGTAAGAGGACACACTGTCTCTCCTAAGACCAGGGAGTAAGAGCAGCACATGTCTCTCCTAAGCAACCCTCTCTCACACTCAGGTTTGAGGTGGTAATACTATTAGCTGAAGTATAATTTCTGTAAAAAACCTAGCTTTTTATTTAATTGAAGGAAATGCAAATACTCTCACAGGAAATGCAAGCTATTACCACTTGCTTTGAATCATGTAACCATGTCCTTTTGTGGAACTGGGTTTCCTATGACTCACTGTGCAACTTTGTCTAAATGTCTTATCCTCTCTATGCCTATATAAAAAGAGATGAGCACTAAACAATTCTGATTTTCTTCCAACATCAGGAAAATCCATTTGCTACATCAGAAATAATGAAAAGACTTTGGCTGAAACATAGACACTTAGTACAGAAATGTCAATTATGATTTCTTACCAATAAAAAACCTCAATGCCTGTGGCCAAAACTTTAAAATGAATCAATTTGTTTACTTAAACTTAAAATTTTTTCAAGCAACCTCTGCTATAATAAATGATCTCTCAACACTAATGTCTCCCCAGTGTAAAACTACTTCACACCCATCCACATACCACAAACACAAGCCCTACTTCCCGTCTCTTCATGTGAAAGGTAAAAATGGAAGCCACAGAGGGGGCTTGAGTGAGTCCTGGAAATCCAACCATCCCACAGAGGCCGTAGGGATCAGGAGACACCTCCAGGGACCACAAATGGACAAATGGTTATGGCAGACCTTATCATCTCTACGACCTGCCTCAGAGATTGGAATGTTACATATAAAAATAATGAAGAAGGAATTTTTTTCAAAAGCTGCTCAATATATCGTATGTCTATACTTATCTTTGCATTCAAACTATCCACCCAACCAAACATTTCAGGAAAAGTCAATAAAAAGCAGTATGTGTAGTTAGGGTCAGGAAATGCACGTTCCAGCCAATTATTGTTACTTGAGGCCAGCCCAGTGAGTTTTCTCATTGTAAAGGCAAGTTTCTAAATCAGGGGCCCTGCACTCTCCCACATGGAGACAAGAGTGAGAAGTTCACACTGAGGGAAGTGGGGGAGGATGGAATTGAGAAAAATCAAAGGGCCGTCCGTGAACCCCAGCACATCACCACGCATACAAAACCAATGAGAAGACTCTTTGATCTTTGGCAAAAATGCCCCATAAAAGGCTATCATTTACTGTGCTCTCAGTGTGCTTGTCTTCACAGCTGTTTGTTAAGTAAACCATGTGGCATGTGTACAGCATCTCTAACCACATCCACAGGCCCGGTTTCACAGGGAAAGGTCATGTTTCCAAAGTTCTAATGAGCAGAATGAGGGTAATCAACATGAGAAGACTTCAGACACTGAACCACCTAACTTGGCTCCACAGTAACAAAACGTTTCAACGTGCCTGCTTGTTCTGAACCCGTGCGGGAGTCATTCTCCTATTTACTTTCAGTGTTCGTAGCTTGTGCCAACTACTGTATGCGAGCAAACCACAGCAAGGTGAGCAAAGGAGGTCTGGGGAAAGAAACCATGGGCCCTCTCCACGAGACACTACACAGCCTCACTGAGGAGATGCTGTTGCCCTGGGCTTCAGACTCTCATCAGCCCAACCTGGTTCTGAGCCCAGATCCCCATGTGGCCCCATGGCTTTAGGGAAGTAAATCTCAAACTGACACCTACAAAATGTAAACATGATACCTGACTTGTTGGGTTATTTTCAAGATTATATGAAATAATACATGTCACTCTATCCCTTCCCCTACAGAAAGCACACACAGAGAGACAGGTTGACAAAGCAACACACACTTATGTCATAGCTGTGAGGTGACAGAAGTCATCAGAGCAGCCAAGGAAATGAAAAGTGCTACATTATTCCTACTGGAAACGATGCTAAGGGACAAGCTCCAGAGCTAAGATTCCCTAAGAGCGTCTGTCCCAACTTGGAAATACAACCTGGCCACTGCTACCAATTCAAGAAGAAGACATCTCAGTGGTGTTTCTTAGTGGCTTCTTCACAGGAGGACGAACACTCACCTTTCAATACTCCCTGTGCAATCTCAGATGGCGGTACTAGCCCATGACTGAACCAGGGACCCATTTTGTTTTAAGATTCTTAGAGTAACTGTGACACAGTTACAAAGATAAGACGTTTCTTTCTTTTTTTTAAGACAACATGTAGTTCAACCTGGCTGGCCTTGAACTCACTATAAGCCCCAGGCTGGCCTCAAACTTGCAGTGATCCTCTTGCCTCAGCCTCCCCAGTGCTGGGATTACAGATGTGTGCCACCATGCCTGTCTACAAAAGTAAAATAATGTTTTCTAGTTCTACTTCCTTTCAAAAATAGGAAAGGACAACTTCTTTTTCATAGATGGCTAGCATATTCTGTGTTATTTTTCAAGGGTAAGTTAACTCTGGAATGTTCACCCATGTTGGGAAGAAGAGAGTTTACAACTCAATTTAAGATGCTTGGGGTCTGCGGTGAAAAGTTTAAAAGGTAATTTTCCCAAAACATCTAACAATGCTTAGAACCTAATAAGCTGAGTGATTTTTGCAACACCAATGTACTCTAGGTGGCTCAAGTATTCTGAGCACTGGGAGAGCTCCCATGTTTCTTTAACAAGTTGGTAATATGTGGCTATAAAACAAAAGCCTCCCACAGGGACCTTTGAATTATACTAAGCTCTCCAGGGAATTTTTTTCCAATTAATAACTAAAAATAATCTGACATAGTTACCTTAGTAACACTATTATTTTAAGCAAAATGCTATCAAAGATAAATGAGAATGATGGAAAAGAATCTTTGTTTAGTTGCTGCCCTTAACCAAGGTCATTCACGTCACTTCCTGTGGTTAAATAATGTCAACTTACTAAATTTTCACACACTTCATAGATAAATGCTTTTTTACAAAGAGCACACTTGCTCAGATGCAGGGGGCAACACGGGCCACAGAGGTGCAGCGTCCAGCAGGGTAGCTGCCAACCATGCGCACTGGGTGTGGAAATGTGGTGGGTCCAATCCTCGAGGCACTGTCCAAGTGAAACACCTGCTGCATTTCCAAGGTTTAGTGTGAAAAAAAAGAACGCAAAATATCACAGTAATTTTTTTATTGTACACATGTACACTAAATAATAGCATTTTGGCCTATTTGGAGTTAAATACAATAGTATTAAAATTAATCTCAGTTGTTTCTTTCTACTTTTTAAAGTTGGTTACCACTACATCTGAAAGCACACTGTCATTTTACTGCATTTCACTGCGCGGTGCTGGAAAGGTTTTCTCAACTTAGATCATCACTTTGTGATACCAGGGTAACCTTCCACACACACATCACTCACTGTTTTTCTGACCTGGGTTTCTTCATTTGGACAAGAGGTCAACAGGTTGGATTAGAAGTCTTTTTTTTTTTAAACTCTCTATGGCTCTAACATTCTAGAAGTTGAGGGGCCCATGGTGATTGCTGCTGGAAAAAAAAACCACAAGGACTCAGGATGCCATTGTGGTAACTAGGTAACTAGGCCACAGGGCGGAATTCTGGTAGGATCTGGGCTAAGGACAAGATTCTAAGAAAAGCTCAGAGTGTTCTTATACCAAACACAGCAGCTCATGTGCCCTGGGACCAGAGATAGTGTTGTTCTGGGCAGGCCAAAAATCTTAACAGAGTCGCAGCACTGTATTCTTGCAGTCCTCTGACTTAATTATATAACTTCATAAAAATGTGGCCTTCTCACTAATTTGCAGCTTATTTTTCTAGTTTAGCCATCATTTTTCATAAATTTATGCGCAATCTGAAAAAAATCACCTAAGCCTAATGAGATAACCTATAAACAAGGGACTGTAAATCCTACAAACTTCAGGAACTATAAACTACAGAAAACTTGTAAATTTCAGGAACTGTGTCACAGCAAAGCTACAGCTATTTGCTTCATGCCTCTCTATTTAACGTGTTTGTCATGCATTGGCCTCAAACACCTTAGGCTCTGCTGTGGTTTGGAAGTGGTTTGTCGCCCAAGCCTTCATGCATCGGACACTTAGTCCCCAGTTTAGTTTAGAGGCAGTGGAACCTTTAAGAGGTACAGCCCAACAGGAGGTGGTTAGGTTGAGGCACTGCCCTTAGAAGGGACTGGTAGTTCTTGTGGGACCCCAGGAAGTCATGAGTAGGTTATTATAAAAAAAGAGCAGTATTGGTCCCTCCCTGCTCTCTGGCTTCCATCTTACCACGCGGCCTCTCCCTGTCATATCCACTCCCACTACAAAGTCATCAACATGTTTTGATGTAACCAGAGGCTGAACACATGAGGCCACCTGATTTTGGACTATCAACCTGTAAAACTGTGAGCTAAATAAACCTTTTTCCTTCATATAGCCTCCAGCCTTGGGTATTTTGTTACAGTAACTGTAAATGAACTAAGATAGGCTCCTTCTTGTCCAACTGTAGCAAAAATTCTTTCTCAGCACCCTCACAGGTTATGATCAGTGAAGAAACACAAACAACATCAGAGAAATCAGTGACGTACCAACTCCATTAACTGTTTGAGCTGACCTATCTCTTCTGGTAGTGATCCAAGCTTGTTGTTACTTGCAATTAAGACTTTGAGAGGCAGACCACACAGGCAGGCAGGCAGGGCAGACAGCTGATTTCGACTGTAAAGACAATACAAGAGCATGTGTCAACAGAAAGGCCATCTCATACTTTCTGTAAAGATGTTTTTGAAAAGAAAGGAAAAAGGAGTGATGTAAGACAATATTTTACAAATATAGAGTCCAGTACATTTTCTGTGTATGTAATAACTCAAAATTACATGTGTATGATAATACAAAGTATATTAACAAAAAGAATCATGGGCATTGAAAAAGTGGGTACCAAAATACAGTCAGACACAAAGAACAAATTCTAGTATACTATAGCACAGTAAGATTACCACAGTTTACAACCATTTATTATATTTTTCAAAATAAAACTAGAAGTATTCAAATGCTTCCAACACAGAAATGATAAATGTTTGATTACTAGTTATTGACTTGATCAAAACACTTGCCCCACATATACTGATTTATCACACTATGCTCTGTGTGTCAGTTGTAAACAAAGAGATGCACAGTTTTCAAGGAAACAACTTTTCCAACCCAAGGAATACCATTAAGTCTTCTGCAGAAGCCAAGCCATGGACACCCAGGGGGCAGACAGATAAAAGGGCCAACAGCAATGGGAAGATAGTGCTGCTATACCTTGGACCTAGATGTCCTCCAAAGGCTGTGGTGTGTGGCACTACTGGAACATGGTAAAGCCTTTAGAAGCGGGGCCGGGTGGAGGCCTTAAGTCACTGGAAGGGGGCCCTTGGGGTGTGGGTGTGGGACTGGTCCCCTCCACTCCCTCTTTGCTCCCTGGTTGCCTTGAGGTGAGCAGCTCACTCCAGCAGTACTCCCCACCATACTGTGCTGCCTCACCACAGGTCCCAGAGTAAACGGGTCAAGTGACAAAGGACTTGAACCTATGAAACTGAGCCAAAATCAACTTCTCCTCTTTTTAAGTTGATTGCATCAGAAGTTTTGTTAAAAAAAACTAAAACAGGTGCCAACTGTTTCCTCCTGACACCATGTGTAGGAAACTCAGCTAAGACCAAAGCAATGAGCACCACTAAGGCAGTATTTCATCCATGTTAGTCTTAATGGAGAAGAGAATTCACAAAACTACTGAGCCAATTTCTACTGTTTTCACTCAGCTTCCTTTTGTTAAAACAAGACCTGCTACAATTAAAGTCTATTTCTGGGTCTCCAAGAGAGCTAAATAAAAGAAAAAGAAGTAAAACTGGCCTCTGGCAAAGTTAGTATGGAGGCCAGGGGGAGTTTAGTTCCACTGAGTAGCTGACACAGTCTGAGCTAAGGTTTGACCCATACCCCACATGGAAAGGGTCTCCACCCAGAAGGCTCTGAATTCATTAGTATTCCAAGAGATGGAAGATACTGGATACATCTGAAAATCTGTATATTTGAAAATATACAAATACTCCTTCTAAAAATTTGTATATTTGAAATATACAAATACTCCTTCCTTATTTATATATTAGCCATTTGTTTTAGCCTCTTCCCCAAAAGAACCCCTTCTTTTCTGGGGAAGGAAGAGGGGATGTAAGGGTAGACATGTAACAAGGGATCTGAATATGATCAAAATAATTATACACATTATACCTCTCCCCCAAACATGTGAAACTAGGGGAAAGCGGGGGGCAAAGGTCATGATGGAGTACAATGATTTGTCCATATACAAATCTGCCAAAATGAAACCTATTACTCTGCATAGCCAATATACACTAATAAAAATATGGAGAGAACAAAAGTAATAAAATTTTTAAAAGGTTAAAAAACAATCATTAGCATGCCATAAACAAAAATTAGTATATGTACGATTATTAAACATAAAAAGTAAATTTTATTGGAAATGTATCACTTAATGAGGTAGATGCAACTTTTATTTTCCTAGTCAGTTTATATATTCATGGTGGAATATTAAATACTGTATTACTAAATAAAACATGTCAGAAAGTGTTCTATTCTTTTTTAATAATTTGTAAGAAAAAAACCAAGTGTGACTTATCATTAAAAATACATGTTTAGTGGGGAAAAAAGCCCTTTTTCCTGCTGCTAAATAAACAGGAAAATAATTTTCAGTTTCCCTAACTTTCTTTCCCTGCCATTTTGTGGATGTAGCCAACAGCCACACAATGAAACAGCTAAAAATCTGTGTGTGACATGATTGCACCTGTTTAAAATTTCTTGTGAGAGTTTATGCACACATTCATAAAGCTTCAGAGGTGGTCTTGCGTGTATTCACAGGCACACATATACTTCTGGGTGCCAAGGAGGAGAAACAGACTGGGAGAAACACACCCAGGTATCAGTGGTCATTTAAGTGTATAGGTAAAATGAGGAGTTCCTAATTTCTTCAGTATACTTTTCTGTATTCTCCAAATTAATTCCTATTGCTACTTTTATAATTAGGAAAGAAATATCACTGTGAGAAGAAAAATTCAATCTGGATACTTGTTATATGGTATTTCTGTTTGGGAAGACTCATTGCAGGATGAATACTTGTCACCTGTGCATTTCTCTATTGTATTCTGTAAGACACTACATAGGTCTTACCCACGTACATCCAAGGATGCACGCAAGCATGTGTGCACATCAGGGGCCTGAATCTGGCTAACCAAAGGGCATCTGTAACTGATGAGCTTTACAAAAAATGGTGCCAGGGCTGAGGATGTAGTTCCGTAGCAGAATCCTTGCCTAGAAATGTGTGAGGTCCTAGATTTGATATCCAGGCACCACAAAAAGAGGGAAGGGAGCGAGGGAATGGGGGAGGGAAGAAGGAAATGCAAAAAGCAGGTGCTATGCTATGCAAAAAAACCCTTACTGACCTGGGCCCTCTTGGGCCAACACCCTGATAACACTCCTAATCCAGGCCCAGGTAATTCAATGCAGGCAAGAACAACATAACCCTGTGTTCTCTCTGTTGCCCAGATCTGTAAAGGACAGTATTTCCACAGTGGGGCAGAAGGAGGAGTTTCTCTAAGAATGTCTAGCACAGGGAGGGAGATTGAGACCCCTGTGGGGTGTCTGGCACTGAACAGATCAGCTGCCTCACTTTCCCAGTTAGGAAGAGGGAAACAATAGGGCACTGGGCTTACTGACACTCTCTCTAGGACTGGGGTTGGGGACTGGAGAGGGGAACTGGGGCCCCCAGCTTCTCCCTCTGTCCTGTCACATCTCACTGCCCTTTCCTGCTTGCGGAAACCAGGTGGGGTTTTTGGCCAGATGAGGTGTCCTCTTGGTGCCCTGCTGGTTTTCTTCAAGCTCTTAAAAGGGCTCTATAGATACTACCTCTGGAAAAGAGAAGGCTATTAAAGGGTAGCAAGTAAAAAATTTGAAGTGCACTTTGTGGCTCTATAATACTTATTAATATGCCATTTCATAAAGTAAGGATTGACAAAAACGTTAACAGGACAAAGTCATTATTTTAGAGCCATATTTAAATTTCCTACTGAAGAGAGGATCACAGGAACATCTTTCCAGAAAATTCTATATTCATATTTTCATAGAATTAATAATTACAGGTTGAGATCTTTCCTATGATTTTTCAGATAGAAACACAGTGTTAAATTATGCCCAGTCTCACTACCTGCATACATGCACCTGACCAAAGCAGCGGCTATGGAACTGGGACAGTCATTTATCACGGTTTCTGAAGTCATGCAAAGAAGGCTCTGCTCACTCAGATTTATTCTTCCTGTAACGCTTTCAGGGTGTGGACTGACTTAAAATAAAATACAGTGTAAGTCTGTGAACACATTCATGGCCTCTTTGATGGGAATAAACTTTTTTAGATTAAAAGCTATTGATGCCATGGCTTATCTCCTATTAGGTCTCACACTTTCCACATACACACTGAATTAATCACCCATGGACTTAGCAAACCCATGTTGCCAAGAATTTCATCATAATTCAAGATGCCACAGACACAGGCACACTTCCACTTCATCCATCTGCTCTCTCGCTCTATTATTTCATGCATTTTACCACAGGATGTTGCTGTGTTACTTGCAATTTCCCTAACAGAAAAAGGAAATACACATGCATACAAAAGCCCATCAGCTCTCCAGCAAGTATTTATTAAGGACAGGAGGAAATGCAGTTTATTTCCTACTGAACCCACTACAGACCACATCAGCAGCCTGAGCTTTCTGAAACCACTCATCTGGCAGCAATTTTCTCAAGCAAGTGCCTCAGGCCACAATCCACTCTCCTACCCCCACTTGCCTCCTGTGGGCCTCTGTGCTATAATCAGACCCTTCATGGAAAGAATGTTTAAAAATAAGGCCATATAGTAGCTGATAAGGTAATGGCCAATGTTTATTTTCAAATCTAATCTCTTGAGTGACATCTAAACGCAAACTTTATTTTTATTTTTTTGCTTACTCATTTAAAAAGAGTAAATACGCAGGGCAAAGGACCTGTTCATTTAGAAGTAGAAATTACAGATTCAGTCATGGTGGCCTGAGATTTCTTGCCCTTGCCAGAGCGAAGCCTGACTCCTGCCGTTGTCCCTGCCCTGTCTAGAAGAGCGGGGATCGGGGTGGAGGAGGCTTTTACCAGATCTACATGTATTGCTAGTACTTCATCTTCCATCTTTTTCAGCTGAATAAGACCTACTTGCTGTATCTTTCTATTCTCTCATCTCAAGAAGAAAGTAGTTTAACATAATCTAAACATTTTTGGTAACCTACATTTGTAGGATAAATTTCTCTTGGCTTCAAGTACTGACATCCCTTACTTAATTCCTAAATTAAGAAATGCACAAACCAAGTCACTTCTTAGCTTTTACTTTTAGAGTCTTATTCTGATTGTGGAACTTAGTAATGTCCATATTCAATGCCCAATTCAATATCAGGATTTGGTGTTATCTGGTTAGTATTTGGTTTATCAAAGAGTAATTTTCCTTAAATATATAAAATCAATATATAGTATATTTTATATGTGATTTTATTATCAGTGCATATTGTATTTTTAAAAATTCTACTGGAATATGCTTCTTTACTTTTAGTATATAGGTTTGTTTAATAACGGAACACAGAACTCAGAAAACGCTT